ACCGATTTGCACTTCACAGCTTACTTTTATTATTTCCAAATGAAACTCTTGCAGCGTGCTAAAAACAAAGTCCACAGGGTGCCAGCGATCCACTTTTCGATTTTATCCTCTAGGATCTTTTTAAAATATCAAGAAGTTGAGCACAAATAGTGAGCATTTCAACCCACCATAATTCTTGCGCAAAGACAAAATTTTGTAAAAAGCTCTGATAGCACCCTAGGCAATTATGGCCTGCTTATATCCAGAAAAACATCACAAACTGCAGAACACAAAAGGTAACGGCGAAATGGGTACATTTCACAACCCGTGAAATGTACCCATGAAAATGCAGGTATGAAATCTACCAAATGATTGTTCTCAAAAACATATTTCCTTGACATATTGATAATTTTAAAGTTCCACGCTAAATTCCCCTATACTTGACTGGAGTGATATCCGAATGTTTTCTTCCCTACTGTCGGTAGTTGCAGATCTCTTGGCTGTTTCACTGATTTCAACAGTACAATTTTTTTATGTCAATGATTAGTAACCCCTGAAACGTCAAAAACGGAGTTTCAGCAATTGTTACTTTTCCTTTTTCGCATATAACACCGTTGCCACTGGACTAAAACTACAAAACTTTGGCATACTAGTGACCGCGTGTGGAAATTTCATAAAAATCCGAGCGGTAATTTCCAAGTTGATGATGAGTGATACAGTTTTTCGTGATGTAGATGTCATATGGCTTAAAAAAACATAACATCTCATTTTAGAAATTCTTCGCGATTACAAAACTTCCTCGCCAATGACGTGGGAAGTAAAACGGCTTTGAAATCGAGGAGTATCAGCGATCACGATTATGAGTACCTATTTGCAGAACGACTCATCTACGCGATTTTATATGAAATAGGGCCACCAAATTATCTACATACGTCCTTTCTTAGTCCGTACATTGCGCCGCAACGCTTGGTTTGGCAGCACGAAACAGTAGACAAAATTCGTCCAAAATACAGAGTGCTGAAAACAAAACCCCACAGGGTGCTATAGAGCCACTTTTTCATTTTTTTCACTAGGTTCTTTTTAAAAAATCGCGAAGTTGAACAGAAAAAGTGCGCACTTCAACCCATCATAAAACTTGTGCAAAAACAAAATTTCAAAAAGTGCTCCTATAGCACCCTGGACAATTATCTTTTCAACATACTGTATGAATTTCATTCAAAAATATTGAAAAATGGAGTGTCAGTTTTGAAGCAGCTGAACCCTTGTAAATGGCTTGAAACTCACTGCGTCGGAGCCGCCTTAAGCAAGGTCCGTTGGTTTTGATAGAAATTTAACACGACAAACATACATTACCGAAGTTGGATTTGATAATTGTGGAAGACACAGGCGCCATGATTTTGTTCCCTATTAACTTTATTGCTTTTGTTTGATAAGGACAAGTTAACAATTAAACTGTAAGAATTGAAATCCTTGCTTTGAGTTAATGAACTTTCCGTAGAAAAATACTGATAAGCGATTAGCGACACTTCACAAATTGAGGTCAAGTCATAATTGTCTGTTGGATTAAACTTTTCAAAGAACTTCCTGATAGAGAAATTGTATAAAATCAGCTGATTGTTATAATTCTTGATTAATTCGACGTTGAAGGCAAAATAAGATAAGGGAATCAATAAAATATTAACATGAAAAATGTTTATTTCATATTACCGGTGTTGAGTGGACGTGATTTTATTCATTTTATTATTGACCTGAAATGTAACAACAAACCGTAATGCACATTGCATGAAACTCTATTGTTTTGCTAGTTACCCATGATTTGACTTGTCAAAATGTAACTGTGCCACTTTTAGGTGTGCTATTTGTGCCTTTGTCTCTTCGAATGTGAAAAAATCGTATTCGAACAAACCTGTGCATGTGCCATCTTACTATTAGTTCACCTGTAAACAAGCTTTCATTTGTATTTGGAAGCCTCAAAATCTAATTAAAATTTTAAATTAGCATCTCCTTTTTATGTGTCTGTAATCTCTGATAATTCGGCTTCCTGTTGTGTATATGGACAACACAAACAAGCGATCTTGTTTCTTATATAATTGAACCACTTATTTTTTAGCCCATTTTTTACCGAACAATGATTGCTTTAAATGATTCATCAAATTGGTCTTCTATCAAACACTAATAAGCAATATCCTGACTACATATAAATAATTTATTACGTAATACAAATAACAGGTAGATGATATATTTTGGTACCAAACTCAATGCCTATGGTGATAAATTAAATGTTCCATGTAGAGTGAGACTAGTTATAGTGATTCTCGTTGGTAGGAGAAGTAGACACTGAACAGTTATTACCCCACCAAAGATGAAAAAAAAGGTTTTGAGGGTCTGGACGTGTTGGGCGATTTTGATAACACTTTAAGACAATGCAGTGGCAAAAATAGAAGAACTTTGTAGGTTCTGAAAATCGGTCCAGTAGCGGCGAAGTTATACGAAAAAGAAAAAAGGCAAATTCTCTCTGCGATGTTTTTCGCGTTCCACCTAATTTTTGAGTGTAGTAGAAATGGCTTTGTGTGTATGAAATCTGAATCATTCCCCTCAAAAGTGGACTGACTAGGTGCTAATTATGATTGGAGGGCTCAAAATCTGGAACAATATGTTCGTAGAACTCCATGATTTTCTGAACAAATCAAACCACATATATAGAAATTACTTTTTCCTGACTTTTGGGTAGCGAAGGTAATCTTTTCCAAAGTACAGATCAATGATAATTACTACATATTCTATATACATATATATTTATCCACCACCAACCAAGGGTAAGTATTCCCGCTTCCAAAAGACTTCCACACTTCAAATTGACAAGAGAGCATAACGTTATCTGTTGCTGATGCACCTGCATTCATCTGTATTTTAAAAAAATCACTGTGTTGGCGGAAACTAGTTTTTACATATTTAGTTTCATTTGGACAAACATTTTGAAGTACTATTAGCGTGAAAGTCACAATACAAGTTTCAGGAGTTACATTAACACATCTGTTCGTGTATACAGAGTCAATCGTTGTCTATTATTTCCTAATTATTGTGTATTATTAATCCAGTGTTTATAGTGCCGTAGTCTCAGCCTTCTTTTTATCTTGGTTCCTAGGTTGCATTTTTGGCACTCCTAAAGCACGTTTTGTGCCTTGGGACGTAGGTGACAACATGCCAACTCCCCTTTAGTATATGATTATTTTACCCACAACTGGTCGCAAAACTGTCTCTCCTATTGCTCATCATGGCATTGACCTTGGTCTTGCTTTCTATGAACGATTGTGCCAAATGAGGTTTATTGATTGTTTATGAGCCACTTTCTACCTTTTCTACATGTGGAATAATATAAGCCCGATTTCATTTGGCGGAACATGGAACGTAGGTCTATGAACTTTCCACCCATTGTGTGCGCTGAGAGATGCTTATCATCCATTTGCTGCATTGTGTAGCGCTATACAAGAATAACAATAGACTCTAGTCTAAGAAGATACTCGTATACGATATTCTTGGGTATGACCCGTTTAAGACGAATAGCAGTTTTGAACGCATCTAATTCTGCACAAAATTGAACTTACCTTAAGTTTGCTGCTTTGATCTATTTTCAAACAACAGCAAACAGCGCTATTTCGCTCTCTTTTGGACTTATCAGCACAGTGTTGTATTAATTGCATATTAATAATAATGAGTAACATGCAGATTTTTTCTTTTACCAAATGTCTGCCACAGTTTAGTTTCGTAAAATTTGGCTGTCAGTGTTAAGTACTATTTATTACCTATTTGCAAAAAGTTCATGAGTATCAAACTGTGCTACAGTTTATCAGTCTGAATATTTCTGTACAGTCCGATACGTGTTAATGTCTTTTAGTCTCGATTTATACAAAAAAAAATTAAAAAAGACCACAAATAAAAATTTCTGAATTCATGATAATAACGTAATGAAGTTGATCGGTACTCCTCACATATTAGTATCTGTATTCATACTTATTCTCTTCACGTAACTGACTTTTAAGAGAACCGACCTTCCAGAAAATCGTTTACATTGAAATTGACCAAATAGCGCCTAGGAACATGGGTACATAGAAATTAGGAGCGCGATTAGCGATATCTGAAACCTGATTTGGTAACTTTTCAGCAATCAACATTTTTTTATTCTGCGCGGAAGCGACTGCAGTCAAGAATGATTAGCATCTCGGAATGCACAAAAAACTAATTTTGTTTAGTTTTCAGGGATCGGTCTTAACCTATCATTATTTGTTTTCTTCAGCTAATCTCTTCACTCTGAACAAGGCTCAGTTAAGACTTAGCCTTGAGTACTGCTCACGTGTTTGAGGTGCTGTCGCCCCAACTACATTGTCCATGGTCGATGATGTTCGGAGGACTTTGCTCTTCAGAGGTCTCCTTTATGAGGTTGCCCCGCAATTAGCCTGCCAGACAGGACGCCTCCCATCCTAATCGTGTCGAACTTCATATATCCACAACTGGCTAGTAAGAAACGCTCCTTTGAGCCTAGGTTGTCGAGATTGTGCGATAATTTGCCTGAGGCAACTTTTTTTCAGTTCTACTAGCTTAAGCACTTCGAAAATCCGATTAACAAACTGCCTTTAAGCTCTTTATATCAGACGCGGTGCTCCGTTACTAGCGCATCTGCCGGCTTCTTCGGTATAAAAAAAACCTTATGCCTGGTTGCGTTACTGCAAAACTTGTTTTTGGAGTATTCACGAAAAAATATGATAAACTCCGCCTTTATTACTACTAGGCGTGTTACGTTTGGTTGTTAGGCTAGCGGTTGGGGAGAAATTCCACCTCCGACTGTCAATGCTGTTAATACATTAGATAGTGCAAGGGTAACGATTAGGTCTCTCTTGATAAAGCCTACCTAAGTCTTGAATAAATTGTTTCAGAACTATAACTTTAGCATGTGGATATTTCTTGATCTGTCTACAGATAAGAGGCATTCGTCACTCGATATGCTCATTGTTGTTTTTTTACAGGAAGAACGTATGTATAGAAAGAGAAGAAAGTTCGGACGACAATGATGCTGAAGAGGTGGAAGGCAAGAAGAATGAAACTGAAACTGGCAGAGATGCTTTCTCTACTTCTATCAGATTATCAAACTGTTTTGAAATGCCACACAAGTATGAATGTATAACCAAGTAAGTAAACATGCTTTTATTACCTTCAACTAAGCTATTAGATTCGAACATAATCTCAGCCTCAGAGATACGCCGGGTGGTACCTCACGCGATAGTGTGAGAACGTCTACCATCTACGGACAATCACAACCTCCAACCAAAACAAGAATTATATTGGAAACATTACTAATATACTGTTTACTACAAGTAAATATATTATTGTTATAGCTTGTATTGATATATACCAATATTTTGACAGCTTGAAAGTTCCATGCCACTTGATAAGCTAGATTTATCTGAGAATATAATATCATATAGCAGCGACATCTCTTTCCCTCAGTGATGCAGATATTATGTCGACTTAATCTAATAGTGTTGCCGGACGTTAAGGAAATTCTCAAATACACTATAAAAGTACCAAATTAAATATGGCAGTGTATCATTTAGTGAAAAATCTATACATACATGGAGATGGAGAAAACCACTGCTCTCCTTGCACATTAGACTCTTCAACTGTATGCCCTTAGTGATTTAAAATCCTTAGTAATGGCATAATTCTCCACCAATGTGAGTAATGTGATATTTTACTATACAGAGTGTAAGGTTAGTAGTGGATCAACCGAAGTCAGGTGATAGAGGGCCTCAAAATGTATAAACCTAATGGCTTAATTGTAATTGCGATTGAAAGTGTATCATCCCGTTTTTTTTCGAAATTTCACAAAATTGCATCTAACTCCTGAACTATAAAATTTCGGATCACACATATAGGGGTTCATTTGATATGGTTTGAGGCCCTCTATCCCCTGACTTCCGTTGATCCACTACTAACTTTACACCCTGTATTTATCGCAAACTAATGTAATCTTCGAGGTTTTTCCCTTCTCCATCATTTCTAGTAACAAGGTGTTTAAATCGGTGCATTAAGCGCTTGAAATAATGTAATTGTTACTTAATCGTTTCACTCCATACTTGTTTCGCGTACTTTAAGCAAAATAATCGAATTTCTGGCGAACCTTCACGCTCCACTGCTCGCAGCCGCCTTTTAAGAGCAACGACGATTGTTTAAAAATAACGGTGGCCTTTCGACAAAACAATGCTGATAACCTAATGATATTTTTTGCTGTCGGCTGCTGTTTTCTTGCAACTTTAAACAATCTCATGTAAATAAACATAACAAAATTATGACGAAACAAGTACGTACATACTTTGTAAAATGTCATTGTAGACACAGCATATTTTCGGGATAGGGTTGATGTCCTCAAGTTTTTGTCCTGGTTTGTCAGATGCTATAGTGTCAAATTGCACGTAGACCACATCTACTCTATACCGACAGAATCGTCAGCCTCTAGCGGTCGCAATTCTGACTGGACTATGAAACGCTAACTGAGATATGCATAGTTCCAATGATAGCTGCTATTCACTCTCGCAATAGTCGATTCAGGTGATAGATACTTCTGCCGTCACGTATACAGGGTGTTTTAAAAAGCTGAGTCGTTGATATTAACAGCTTATAGAACTCGTCAAAAGAAGTTGATACACCAAAAATCACCCATATAAAAGTTATATAATAGTAATTATTAAATATTATAAAAAAAATCATTAGCAATTTAAACTTACACCGCTTTTATAAAAACTATTCAAAATTGTCCCCGTTTGTCCGATTAACGCAAAATCTTGCCTAGCGAATCCACGACTCTTTACAAGCTTCGAAAATAAAATCCTGGTGTCTACGAAGTAAATCACAAACATTTTTAGTGCGCTGTTGAAGTTCTTACAGAGTATTTACTGCTCCATCATGATGCATCAATTCTTTCAAATAGCCCTACAGAAAAAAAATCGCAAGGCGTTAAATCCGGGGAGCGAGCAGGCCAAGAAAAGTGTCCATTGCGCCTTATCCATCTATTCGGAAACTCATTATTTAGATGCTCGTGAACTTCTCGTCAAAAATGTGATGGAGCCCCATCATGCAGGAACCACATATTCTGTCTCACATTTAGAGGGACATCTTCTAATAATTGTGGCAGATTGTGTCGAAGAAAAGCTAAATAAATTTTACCGGTCAGTCGAGATGGAAAAAAAAGGGTGTAATAAACATTGCATTTACCACTCTTACCCAAACATTTAATGTAAATCTATGTTGAAAATGAGTTCTTTTTACAGCATGCGGCCACTAGCAACATGTAACTCTTCTAGGATGATCTTCAGGCTGTAACGCTTGTAACCGTTGATAATAATAAGGATAATAGTGTTCTTGTCATATTGTCTTCCACACTTTACTATGAGAAACTTCAACTTGAGCTGCTATGGCTCTAGTACTCATTGTTGGGCCGTCTTCGACCATTTCTAAAATGTCTTCCTGATTTCAGGTTGAGCATGTCTTCCAGCGTGACCTCCTTATTGTTCTTTTAAATATCCTGTGTCACGAAGTCTAATAACTAAATTTACAAAGATCCGAGGGGCCGGATGATTTCTTAAAGGAACCTTCCCGGAAACAACCTGCATGCTGCGGCTACATTTTGTTGGCACTCTTTGTATGTTAGTATTATGTCCACCAGTTTTTTCGTAACACATGGGCCATTTTTTAACACAAAATAATCAGACAAATGAAAGTATACGCATTATTAAAAGACTGATACAACTGATCGAACCAAAGAATCGCACTGAAAACCATACAATAACACGAAAGGTTTGCCAAATTTGGATAAACGATGAGGGTAGTAAACAAAAAAACGCTAAGATTTTACACGGCAGTGGTCGAAAATATCAAAAAATCTGTATAGTAATATTCTTATTTTTTTAAATTTTTTATCATACTATCTGGTTTGTTATGCAACTTTATACAGGGTGTCCCAGAAGTCGACGTCAAGCCGAAACCGGGTGATAGGCAAAGTCATAACAGCTATCAGAAAAATATTTAAAAAAATTTTATTTATGTTTTTTGAAAATTATAGGTCTTTGAAAAAGATATAGAAATTTCACACCCTACGGCAGTCTGTCAACTCCTGTTACTACAAATATTAACTTTTTTGGATTTTATTTTTACAATGTAATGATGAATAATGCATCTTCAAACTGGTGTCTCAACCTTACTGCCAACTTTTCTCTTTCAGGAAAAATTTCCACTTATTTCCCAACCAAGTATTCCAAAGTAAAACTTTACTCAACTTTAACTGGCTGTACTGGAAAAAATGTACTACGAGAGTTTGGCAAGTAACCTTAAAAGTTGGCGCATTTAAAAGCGATTCCAAAATGGTATAACACTTAGAAGATTACTCGTTAACTTATGCACAATTTTTATTTGAAAAAAAACTGATGAAAATTTTTCAAAATTTCCTAATTAAACAGCGATTATGAAAACGCACAAGGACCCTTAAGGATAACTGTTTGCACAACAGTGGGCGTCAAAATGCTGCTGATGATGATTTACCTTTACAGCAAATGCTCGAACTGTTTTCCTTCAACCGCAATACACGCTCGACATTTTCTTAAAAAAGATCAGGTTATTAAACGAGCGAATCCACGGTTATTAACAAACTCAGCTGCATCCAATAGTCTTTGCCGTAGCTCAGCTACATTTTGAATCGGCTTGAAATACACTTTTTCTTTTACAGTTCCCCAGTAAAAAAATCTAAAGGATTCAAATCAGGTGATCGGGCTGGCCACGGTATTGTACTAGACCGCCTTATCCATCTGCCTGGAAAGTTTTGATCGAGATAATCTCTCACTGAGAGTTCATAGTGCGCTGGGCAGCCATCATGCTGAAACCACATGTCCCTGTAAATACTCAGTGGCACGTCCACCAATAAATTTTGTACATGATTTTTCAAAAAATCCAAATAAACTTCAGCAGTCAAAGTCTCTGGGAACTCAAACGGACGGATTATTTTACCATTTAAAATTCCTGTCCAATGGTTTATCTTGAAGCGATATTGAGATTTATCTTCTCTCATCAAATGTGGGTTTGCTACGTGCCACTCGTGTAAGTTATGCAGGTTCATGTACCCATCTTTCTTAAATGTGGTCTCATCTGACCATAAAATTTTTTCAAAGAACCGTGGATCCTGTGTCTTTCTAACATTGTGCGACAAAAAGCAACTCGGGGCTTATAATAATAATAAAATAAGGTTTTTTGCAAAAACATTTAGAAAATTTATTGGAGGACGTGCCACTGAGTATTTACAGGGACATGTGGTTTCAGCATGATGGCTGCCCAGCGCACTATGCACTCTCAGTGAGAGAGTATCTCGATCAAAACTTTCCAGGCAAATGGATAGGGCGGTCCGGTACAATACCGTGGCCAGCCCGGTCTCCAGATTTGAATCCGTTAAATTTTTTTTACTGGGGAACTGTAAAAGAAAAAGTGTATTTCAAGCCGATTCAAAATGTAGCTGAGCTACGGCAAAGACTATTGGAAGCAGCTGAGTTTGTTAATAACCGTGGATTCGCTCGTTTAATAACCCGATCTTTTTTAAGAAAATGTCGAGCGTGTATTGCGGCTGAAGGAAAACAGTTTGAGCATTTGCTGTAAAGGTAAATCATCATCAGCAGCATTTTGACGCCCACTGTTGTGCAAACAGTTATCCTTAAGGGTCTTTGTGCGTTTTCATAATCGCTATTTAATTAGGAAATTTTGAAAAAATTTCATGTTTTTCTTCAAATAAAAATTGTGCATAAGTTAACGAGTAATCTTCTAAGGGTTATACCATTTTGGAATCCTTATTAAATGCGCCAACTTTTTAGGTTACTTGCCAAACTCTCGTAGTACATTTTTTCCCAGTACAGCCTTTCAAAGTTGAGCAAAGTTTTACTTTGGAATACTTGGTTGGGAAATAAGTGGCAATTTTTCCTGAGCGAGAAAAGTTGGCAGTAAGGTTGAGACACCAGTTTGAAGATGCATTATTCATCATTACATTGTAAAAATAAAATCCAAAAAAGTTAATATTTGTAGTAACAGGAGTTGACAGACTGCCGTAGGGTGCGAAATTTCTATATTTTTCTCAAAGACCTATAATTTTCAAAACACATACATAAAATTTTTTTAAATATTTTTCTGATAGCTGTTATGACTTTGCCTATCACCCGGTTTCGGCTTGACGTCGACTTCTGGGACACCCTGTATATAGGTGATTTTTGGTATATCGACTCAACTTTGAAAACACCCTGTATAATTAACTACTGGACAACTCGTTCTTAAGTTATAGCTACCTGTTGCAGAGCGAAGAATACTCAAATAGTTCGAGTTATTGGAAATACCATTAATAGTTAGGAGTGGACTTGATATAGAGTATTTTTTACGAGTATCCATTACGTGAGTCGTATTTTCTTGTGATGTTCTGTACTCTACTATTTACCAAACCGCTTACAAGTATTTTACTTAGAAAAGTTACTTTGCACTGAAGAAAAACCTCTAAGAGCAAAATAAGCTGGTAATGATCATGACTACATTTCAACTACAGTTCTGAATACGGTCCTGATTTACACCTGCTTCATTATTGCCAATGCTGTAAATTTTAGCACAAAGATATAATTTATTGATAGTCGTGAGAAATACTCTATTACGCATTCAGCATTATGGCTCAGCACAGAATGCCTTGCCCACTTATGCTACATCCATAATTCTATATATATATATGTGTCAATAGTTGACTAAGGCACACAGATTGATGTAGTTCATTCCCCTTTTTTAGCTGGCGTTTTGAAAAAATCTGTCGTTACACATAGAAAGAGAACCTGAATCTTAAAAGAACTTACTCTGGAGCTTCTTATATTAGAATTTTTCATGAATTTTCTATTCAAACTTTGTCAATCTTTTAAGATTTCCCGTTCATAGATAAAGATGAAAATACAACTTTGAGAAGCAGTTCTCATAATAATATTTCGTCAAGAATATCAGCTTCTTTATTATCTTAATAGGCGACGTATTTTAAGTTTTGCTATGACAGAAATATCCAAGAAGCCCATTCACTGAGTATATTGCAAATATCAAACTATATTTTTCAGGATAAACAACCACGGAGTAGTGAAGACCTTCACAGTCCGTTACAAGTGTTGCTATGGCTACCAGCGTGAGAAGGGTGCCAACGAATGTACCAAACAACGCGATCTGAAACCTCTTCTGGAAACGTTGGATGATCTGAAGACCAAGGACTTCAGAAACATGATAAAATCCACCAGTTTGGACGAGAAATTCGCTGAAGGCAACTATTCCCTATTCGTACCAACTGACGATGCTATCAATGAATATAATGAAAGGATTGCTGAGTCGGTGAGTGACCTTGTAACCATCGATCAGAGGCGGATCCAGAAAATATTTTTGGGGATGGTCCATATGATGAATTTGAAATTAAATTAAAAAGTGCTGGGGGACGGGATATAATCTCAGGATTTATTCAGGAAGGTCTTCGTTTCGGGGAAGAAGTTATTGGAGATTAAACATTTAAGAGCTGAGTGGATAGGCGATTCAAAATTTGGAAGGGGGGGGGGGAGGAAGGGAGAGAGAGAAGTTGGTATATTGAAAAGCACACAAAAATTTTAAGCTCTGATATTTCGATGAAGATTCCGGAATCTTTCCACACCCCCCTGAATCGTCCAGTTGCCATCAATTTTCAATTTACATCAAACTTTTTCACCTGAAGAGGTCTCTCGGAACATACTAAAATATGCAGGGCGTTTCATTAAAAAAAAAATCCGTGTACGTACAAGTAAGCATCGTGCAGTTGCGCAAGGTTTTTGTAACAAACTGTTTTAGATTCATTTAAAAAGCAGTTATCGCCAATTACACACTAAGCGTTCGCCCTGTATATAAAGAAAATACAGATTAGTTATAGTAAAAATATATACGCCTCCACTTAACCCAGTGTTACTGGTTGCCGAGATCTACAGGGTATTCCGGCGGCACAGCAGCTGGATGATGATTCGGAACACACTTGTAGATTCAGTATAGCATGAGTAGGTTATCACTAGCTTTCATGATAGTCTTTCTTTAATTTTAAAATTAAATTTTATGTTTGGAGCATGCACGTTTGATTCAAATTTATATTTGCTTTTGCAGAACAAAGTGGATGCCAACCGTCGTCGCCGCAATATAAAGCACAACGTTTCTCCAAAAGAAATGGTCCTTAGCCACGCAGTAGAAGGTTTTGTGGACTTAACGGAATATTCAAATGATGACGTCATTTACAGGTATTTTAACAGACCTATAGTATAGGCCTTTTCGCAGTTTTTGGCTGGTCATAGGAGAACATCTCCCGCACACATACACAAAATGCAATCGGCCTCTGTGAGCGGACGTTTGTTTGTGTAAACTCACAGACAAACGTTTTTTTTTAATATTGTCTCACTGCAATAAAATTCTTATCGTCATCGGACGAGTCTTCCACAGTATGCTTGTCACTGTTGCTTGCTTCTCATGGGCGTGTGATTTGTGTTTATCCGTGTTGATCTCCAATATAAAACTTAGTGGTGCGAAAAGAGCTACAAAGCTCAACAGTATCTATTAGAAGCATTTTCAGAAAGTGAATGAAAACAACGATCCTCTATCGCCTAATTGATGTGAATGTGCAAGAGTGAGTAGCAGCTGCGTTACGAATCTGGTAGCGCAGTGTGCATTTTGCCTTGGGGGAAGTTAGGCTACGTACCTGATACTATTAGTCAATCTATTTACTTATTTAGTATGGCGTTGTGACGTAGCCACCAAAAACCGTGAAATAACTGTTAAGCTTATAATACAAAAGTCATAACCCTTGATAGGAATATGGTAAGAGAGGAGTATATCTGTTTTGATGTTATTATATTTATATGCTCCCAATCTCGGTAATTCTACTCACCTGTTAGCCACATCTCACACCTCATGATTTCCCCGTAGATTTGCCTTTAAACCTTAGAATGGATGGTCTAAGTATATGGGCCTGTTTGACTGACTTGATCCGTTTAATTTTTCTGACATATATTTTCGTAACTGACTTTTTCTTCAGAGGCTCTAGCTTGTGCGGAACATAATCCTTTATGAACTGATGACGGCGTTATTTGGTGAGCGCAGAGTCAACCTACTTGATGCCATGTTTTCTGTTTTCCAGCGACAACAATAACAGTAGTATCAGGATCAACTTCTACCCAACGAACAGAAACGAAAAACTGGTGACGGTAAATTGTGCTCGTATCAAGAGGCCAAACATATTTGCATCAAACGGCATTGTGCATGTTGCTGACGGAGTAGTCGTACCTGCTACAGAAGATATTGAGTCTATCATCAAGAATCATCCGCGGTTGACCAATTTGAGAAAAGGTAAGTTTGGATTTGATGTATCCCAATATTTTACATAACACTATGTTATGCTTTTATTTTGTAAGGGACTCTACGGATTTATGGTCGAAGTATACTTTGGAGTGATAATTTAACATATCAGAAATGTTAGTGGCTAACATTAGCATATCTTGGAAATAACAAAATATAGAAATCATTGCTGTATAATAGTTTTTGGAATATTGATGTTTGCCATATTATTGTCTCACAAGAAAAATTGTATTAACGCAATTTTTTTAATATTGAAAGATTCAGTCTTTTGATATTAATAAGTTCTGATGATGATATGGATCGACATGTACTCACAACTTTAATTTACTTCCAGCAATCGAAAACTCAGACATTCCTAAGAAAATGAAGCCTGATGGCCACTATACTGTTTTTGCACCAACAGACGAAGCTTTTGCTAAGTTGGATGACATTCAGAAGCAGAAAATAATCAATGGCGAACTATGTGCTGCAAGTAAGTATATTTATTTCACTTTTTGCACTAGCTTACATTTTCATAAAAAAAAGTTGTTTTCTTGGATGCCTATATTCTCAGTCTGTCCAGAACTGGCCGGTATGACCACGCCTAGCGTGTAGAATAATCTACCTCAGGAGGGTTTGCCCAGTTCAAAAATTGGAGTAACGTGTCTTCAAGCTCCTTATAGCAGCCGCGGTGGTCCGGTATTTGGGCTTCTGCTTACGCGGTGGATATCTACGTGCTCACGATTCTAAGAGTAACTTTTTATTTCAGGTATCTTGAAGCATCACTTCACAGCTCACACAATATGCTCCAAAGCTATTGTCGGCAACGCCACAACGCATAACGTACAAGGAGACTTGTTGAACCTGGAGAGAACTGACGATGACGAAGTATTGTTTGAAGGAAAAGCCAAAATCGTTGAAGCTGACATTATTGCAACGAATGGAGTCATTCATCTGATCGATCAAGTAATCATTCCTGATTCAGGTACGGATCGCCACTTGCTAGATGGATAAATATGCCTAGGAATGACATAATTCTTATTGACAAGGCTAACTTAAAAATAAATATAACAAAATTACATACATATGTGGACCCTTAGTAAATGCACAGTAGAGTACACAAATGTTTGATATGGTTTATTTAAGTTCGCGACGGATATTCCAGGTAGGAGGATATTGTCTTAGTGGAGTCAATTTCCCGTCATATTTGTGACGTAGATGACCAATCAGTTGATGTCCTAATGAGGTTAGTAACCTTGGAGAGAGGCGAAAAAGAATCGAATTTTCCTACAATCGTTTTAGTGTTTTCCTGACTTTATTTGTAGTGAAATATAAAGATTAATTGCACACTAACATTGCCATTTTTTCCCTCTATAAGATGGCATAATAGGAATTTCAATATGACGTTTCGTCTATTGTCTTCTAGCATCAACTTTATTTCTTCCTATGGACGCCATATCGGAATTTTTCACAGATAGAATTTTTTATTCTGATTCCAAAAATGTAACGTGTGATACATTGACATTGCCAAATCTTTGAAAAAAGAAAAAAGAATTTTCTAGGTAGGCCTTGAAAATAGATAGCCATTTGTTTCATATACCAGATGTATCGCCTATTGATTTTTATTTTTGTCATAACTTTACTTGAGATGGGATTTCAAAATACCTAAATTACTTGTTGTTATTCCCACTTTTTGTCCTCTATAAGATGGCGTAGTCAAATTTTTAATTACAGGTTTCTTCTTTCCAATTCCCTCACCAACTTTGTTTTTGCTTATGGGCGCTGTATTGGAATTTTGTACAATTAAATACTACTAGGAATAATATTACTTTAGTTAAACACGTGGAGCTTATCTTGACATAGGTAAATGTACTATATTCATAACTAAATGTGGAATCAATAATTGTGTTTGATCAATAATTTCAATAGGGAGCCCATAAGAAAAAAACAAAGTTGAGGATGGAGATCGCACGCAGAAACGTCTAAATGAGAATTTGACGACTCCATCTAATAGAGTAGAGACAGTGGGAATAACAACAAGCAATTTATTTTAACATCCCATTTCAAATACAACCAGAAAATAAACAACGATTTTTCAATAAATCCGGTATATGAAACAAATGCCTATCTGTTGATTTCAAAGCCTACCTAGGAAATTTGTTATTTTTAAATAACTAAGGTTTGGCAATGCCCATGTATAACATTATATATTTTTTGAATCAGAATTGAAAAATTTATTTATCTATGCAAAAATCCAAAGTGGCGTCCATTAGAAAAATATAAAGTGGATTCTGGAGGACAAGAGACAAAAGTCTTGTAGAGGAGAACAAGATACTGTGATAATGTGCAATCTATTTTCAAATCACACTGCGCATGAAGTCAGGAACAAATTAATACGTTTTTGGGAAAATTCGTTTTTTCCCTTTCTCTCCAAAATTACTTTGAATTTCAAAACTTGCCAATCGGAATCTTATCAGCTACTTAAATACGCAACTTTTTCCTCTGATAAACCACTTCGTATTTCATACCGTTTCCGAGATCCCAATGATGAGGATCGAATTTGAAACACTGTAAATGTGATTGTCTGTTCAGTCTGTGAGCATCACGTCTAAGCCACAATACGAAGGGATGTAAAAATTTGTAAACTAACTAATTAGAGTCCGAGGAAGGATGTTGCCGTGATCTTATCCGAGGAAATACACAGAGTGAGCAAAAGTATTGGCAGATAAAAATATTTCGAAAAATATGTTTTCTAGAGAAAAATGTTGAACAGAGTTGTAAAGCCTCAAGAGATGCTTCTATTCGTTCATTCATTTCAAGGTCAAGTACATTTTAAATGTAAACCTCTATTTTTGAGACCGGAAATAAAGAGAGTAAGAAACGTTATGTCCTTGACGGAGAACATTAATTATTAATTATTTCTGAATTACTAATTTGGGAAAATTTCAAACCCAAGTATTTCCTTGCTAATGAATCTGTCAATGACCCTCAAGGTCATTTTAACGTCAGATAAATTTACCTTTTGTCGAAAGCGAAACATTGAAAACAATGTATTGTTGCGTCAAAATGTTGGATAAAGATAACTATTTCATTACTTTTGATATTGCATTTATTTTTCCGAAACCATTCAAATCCGCGCTAATGCGAAAAGAATGACAATAATTTACACTACTGTCACGCTAGCGGTGCCGCAGGCTTAGTTTAGTAAGCTATAAATGTTGATGAACATTTCAGGTTTATCTATTGGCAGCGTTCTCAACCACCAAAACTTTACGAAATTCCAAGAGATGATCGAAAAAGCGGGCATGAAAGAAGAAGTGAACAGTTTGCAAAATGCTACTGCGTTTGTACCACCAGACAGAGTTTTTGAATCACCAGAAGCTCAGAAGATACTCGAGGAAGCCAATCCGGATAAGCTTAAAGAGATCGTAAGGTACCACTTTGTCCAGGGTTTGCTTCCATCTGGAGACATGAACAATAACGTTATGCTGGCGTCTAAGGATAACGAACTACCTTTAAGAATCAACTTGTATTCAACTGTAAGTTTTTGACGTAACTCGCATATTATCTTTCGTATATTCATCCCCCAATGATTATCATTTTGCTACTCAGACCAATAGCAGTAAGAGGTATACCGCTGTCTAGAAGATAACAGTATCAATAACAATAAATGGCTTTTATTGTTAAGATAGGCACACAGAAAAATATACAAACACAGCTCCAAAACTTATATTATTAGAGTGTAGCAAGATCCGCTCTTACATTCAGCCGAATATCTTTTCGAATGGGAAAAGGTATACATATTTAAATGAAAAATTCAAAGTCCTTATCCGTCTTGACATAGAGACTGTAAAATATGATAGAACTTGTATTTCGAGAAAATGAGTATCCATGCCGTATGTACCACTTTCCAAGTTTTCTGACCGTTAAATAAACCCGTATACGAGCCCCTTCCCACTTAAGTTGGCCCACTTCAAGATTTGTAAGAAAATATGCCTTTATAAACTAAACATGACGAAACTATTTACTTCTAAAACAATTTATTTTCTCAAAAACATTTTAGATACACTCTAGTCGTAAAAAATACATATTTGAAATCACTTAGACCTATAACTAACAGAACATATGAACAAATAAACAATGTGCGAATAAATGCGCGAAGTTAACAAAGCAACAATTGAATGATTACCATTGGGTAACATTACCTTTATTTTTTATTACGGCTGAAATTATTTGGGGCATAGTGTTAACCAAGGTTTGGCAAAAATTTGGTGTAAAACAATCCCATATTTCTTGAAGCTTTTGTCTCAGTTCGGTGATTGTACGAGCAGGATGCTGTCGTAGAACCTTTTTCATCCCGTGCCACAAAGTTTCAATAGCTGACAGATCTGGACTGCTAGAAACCCATTTCAAAAGTGGTACATTACTTTCTTCCATCCATTTTATAGCCTTTTTTGAGGTATGGCACGCTGCACCATCTTGCTGAAACACAAAATCTTGGCCGGATGTCAAACATTCTTCCATCACTGGTAAAAGCGATTCTTCTAAAATTGACAAATATTTGTTTGTATCCACATTTCCATCAATAAAATGAAGTTTTCCTACTCATTTTGATGACATACTGCCCCAGACCATAATGGATGCTGGAAATTTCACTTTTCCCTTCAGACAGTCAACATGGAATGGTTCATTTTTGTGCAAATAACTCTACTGCGATTGTCACCAACACAAACTTCAAATCGAGCCTCATCACTCCATTGTATTGCACACCATTGTTGAGGTGTCCATTGTCTATATTCTTTAGCCCATCTAAGCCGATTTTTCTTGTGTGGAGTGGAGTTAATAGTGGCTTTTCTTTGGCCTATAAACAAGTTGTGCAACTTTAGGGTTTTTACTTCCCTTTTTTATAAGAAAACTTACCTTGCAAGTGCTAAATCCCAGTTTGTGGGCCTCTCTTTGAGTTGTGGACCTCGAAATTCTCCTTCCAACAGCGTCACTCCACAGAGCACTTAATTGTAAATAATTGGCACGCCTGTTTTTTACGATTATTCTTCTTAATGCTCTTCGGTCGGCATTTTTTTCACATATCGTGGCTTAATATTAACTGAACTAACAATATTTCTCACACTGTACCGCGATAAGTCTAACAAAGTTGCAATTTCTGAGTTTGAGTTCCCAGAATTAAAAAATTTAATTATCAGTAACCTCACTAATAACCCTTCCTCTACCTATTTTGAAAACCTTAACTACCCAAAACTATTTTAAACGTATTCGGAAAGCTGTGATTAATAAAAACAATTGTCATGGCTTTTATTTTTCACAGCCACCTATGCGTTATAGACTTATTTTGATTTGAAATGAAAATAGGTTGATATGCTGTAATTGCAACATGTTATTTTTATGCTGCAAATTTGATTAGGGAGTGATAAAGTTGGTGTTTTCTACTATATATTATCAAAATATTCATTGTTAATATTTTAAACCTATAACACCCTGCTACATTTTTATTATTTGTCTTCGATAATAAAAAAACTAAGATTTCAATAGTTGGGCCAACTGAAGTGGGAAGGGGCGCGCAGGTTTGAGTTTGTAGTAATTTTATATTCATCTGTTTTCCACAACGAATTCGTATAAATTAGGAAGAGTTGAGCCTAGATGTGTTCACTGCATTGTTTGTCGCCAAATTGCCTCGTTTTAGTCCATACTTTTGACTCATTTGCCTGCCAGTGCACACCAAAGTTATATCAACATTACAATAATACCTGTCGGTGGAAACATCTAGCTTCTTCAGGCTTGCGCTGCTCTCTGCAAATCATAGAAGAAATGCCATGTCTTGAAATCGTCTAACACCCCAATTATCTGCAAACACTCACACCTTTAAAAAATAACGCTAAAAAGACGAGTCTAATGACAGAACTGTAAGAAAATTGACCTATGTCAGCTGCACTTTGATCCTCACTACAGACTATAAGAATTAGAGGACAAACAAATCCTTGACTGGCTCGTAATATATAGTCTGAATTCGTTGTCGAGATCGCGCAAAGCCATCATTACGATACTTTTAAAACGGCACCAGCGGAATTGCATGTCTTTGGATGCGGAAATACCTAACCCAGGCAGTCCTGATAGTTTGCTGTTTTCAGCAGAACCTTTTTAACAAGCTTTTCACCAAATTCCAGAAGGTTGATTAATTGACACTTCGCACTCGTATCAAGGACCGATGACAATGCAGAAATTGGATAACAGTTTTCCATTATCCTGATTAGGACCGCCAGGATTGATAAATTCTTTTATAGAGCCTCTGTAGGGGAGTAAGAGAGAGCTAGAGCGCGATCTGCGCGCGCGTGCAGTTTCGGACTCTTTGTTGATTCGGGCACTCGGCACAGCACAATGAAGACAGATACCTTTTCAAGGTAGTGCATTCTCACCTTGTTCATTGCGAATGTTGCCATCAATCCTGAGTTGGGCTTCGACCGTCCACAAGATGTAAGGTTGTACAGTCGATCATGCAGTCATTTATCTAGGCTCGCGACTGTTTGCTGCTGGACCAGCTTATGTAGTACTTAGTCGAGTAAGATCTTTAGACGGTATTAGGATTAAAGAACTTGATTGCTCTAAGTTAACAGGAAAAACCCAGTGCACCAGAGAGGCTTTAAATGAAATGATTAGATTACGAAATGATTCGTAAGACATTTCAATACCACATGTCCAGAGAAAACTAATTGATAAATCGAACTAAAAAATTAAAAATAAATAATAGTTTAAAAAATAAAAAACCCGCTCTTAAAGCAAACCAAATTAAAAGTAGAAAATAATTTTTAATTACAAAGAGTTTATATTACAGTAGTAGATGGTCGAACAATCAATCATAATTAATGACCTCAAAATAAAATTATAATAAAATTTAAGTTATCAACAGAATAATTCAATTCAGACTAAAAAGCAAGTACATTTTACTTCATTTTCCTCCCATAGATAGTTGCCAATAGAATGATTGTAACATTTGATATATCAAGCGTTAGCTATAAAAGCATGTTTTTTAGTTTTTTAAACTATTATTTATTTAAAATAATTAATTGTAATGCTGGCTTCGTGCGATCTCGGCACAGTGTAGGATCTTTCAGGTTGCTGTTGAAACACACTGTGTAATAGCCGCAAAAACAAATGGATCATCATCTGGAAGAAAAACATAGATAAAGATCAAATACAAATAAACATTGTCACTTTTCTGATCTATACCATGGAGCCTATATCGGTACTTTGAGAAAACGTTACCGAGGTGTTCGAAACTTTAACAAAAACCCAAGCGTGCATATATAATTTCGTTTACAGGTCAGAAAACATATACATGGCAACATACCAGACTTCAATGATTCGTATTTTTCCAAGTGCATTAATTAGTTCATTTGAGTGTTACTTCGACTCTATTCTCATGTACAGAACGTGTCCGAAGTCACTAAAATTATGCTGGGGTTGATTAATAGCTTAATCTCAAGATAAAAATATCATAAATATGAAGATATGTCAGAAATGTTCCCTGAAATTGATTTTTATCAAATGTCTAGAAAACTACTAGACTGATTTTGAGGAAAGGTTGTCAATGACTAGGGCTTCGTAAAAGGACTCAACTGATGTTAAATTTAAATCAGCCTTTAGAAAGGATGTTTTGAAAAGCTTTTACAGCGCCACCAATATTTTACAATTGAGATTCTCATTTGAAAAGACAACTCAAAATAAAGTAATTGTGTCTCTTGCATTTTTGTGTGTCTAGGTTAGTTTTAGATAAAAAATTTAGAACTCAATTGTTTAATGAAGAACTGGTCTAAAGTAACTTCTGGTACTTATCCTGTGGTTTCCATGCTGATAGTCCTCCATGTTTATCTGGTCGCGAAGGGGAACCGCATATGTTTGGAATACTGTTTGCTGGTGCAACGTTTCGGCTCCCACGGTGGCCTTTTTCAGGTACAAATGACAACACATTTTGGTTATCTGTCTTCAAAGTGAATGGTTCTCTACCATGCTGAGATCGCGCGAAAGCCTCATTGCAATTTTAAGCTGGTACCGCGTAAAACCAGCAAAGCTCAGGTCCTCCTGGGGTAAGCCTTTCCGCTCCCTAAGGAAGTTCAGCTCGTTTTTCTTTGGGGGTTTGATGTCCTGTCGGAGAAGGCATGCCTACCGCAGACGGTCCTGAATTTTGCTGATTTTATGAGGTGTTATCTTGAAATTGCAACACCTGGCAGACGGATAATAATAAAAATAAAGTTTATTGCAAAAGAAAAAGTAAGACCTAAAAAAAATTTCGCAGAAACTTGTGCTTGGGCATGAGCTCATGTATAAATAACTTAAGACTAGAAAAAAACAAAACAAAAAAAAATATATATATATATATATATATATAATTTATTAGACAAGTCCTGGTAAAATTTTTAAAAAGACACAATCGGGACGGAGACGCAAAATCGGGACGTAGACGCAATCGGGATAGAGACAATATTGAAACAAAAGACAATATTAGGTGAATAGACAAGAACAAAAATTGGTAAAAATAAGTAATAAAATGCTATAATTCGGGAGGTAAGTAAAGTATATGTTTTGCCACGAAATCCTAGATTCTCCAAAGTAGTTAGTAATTCTTTGTGTTCAACTGTATCAAATGCCTTCTTTAAATCTATAAAGACACAGGTCGATGGGTTTCCCAAGTCTAGACTGGTATACAAGTTTTCCATCAAAACTGCAATTGCATCTTGCATGGATTTTCCTTCTTGGAAACCATATTACTGCTTAGATAGAAGTCTATATTTATCAATCAAATTAGTCAAACGGGCCTACAAAACTTTTTCAAAAATCTTTGAGAGAATGCTTAGTAGTGAGATTGGTCTATAATTGGAAATTTGTGTCTTTTCTCCAGATTTGTGTAGTGGCTTTACTAGTGCTGTTTTTAGTGCGTCAGGAAATATAGCTTTGTCTATGCAAGTATTGATGAAGTACGATAAAACACTTAAAATGTTGTTACTGATTTGTTTGAGCGTGTATGATGTTATACCATCAAGGCCTGGCGATTTATTTAGCTTTAGTTGGCAAATAATATTATTTACCTCAAGCGGATCAGTTGGTGCCAGATAAATTGAATTTTGTATTCGCGTTCTTTCAAATTTTTCATGATGCGTTATATTTTTTGCCAGTATTTCCCCCACTTCTGAAAACTACCTACAAAATTCATTCGCTGTATCTTTATCATTTATTGTGAGTTATGTGTCGTCTGACTTTCTACAAGATGTATATGTACTGGTTTTATTTTATTGTATTTGTTTACGAACTGCCACATTTTTGTTGGGCTGTCTTTGTTTTTGTATATATTGTTTTTCAGAAAGTTTGTCTTTGCCATGTTAATGACTTTGGTTAGCTTATTGCGATACGTTTTAAAGTCGCTTAGTAACTGAGCGTTTTCAGGATGATTTTTTGTAGCCTTATACAGTTGATTTTTTTTATTAATTGAATTTACCATTAGTAATCCATGACTGTCTCTTTATCTTGTTACGATTTATTTCAATTGTTTTAGATAAGCCAAATTTTATTGTCATTGACATCATAATTGTCATTTGTACCTGAAAAGGGCCACCTTCGTAGCCGAAACGTCGTATCAGTAAACAGTATTTTTAGTGGCTAGACAAATATGCAGGATTAACTGTCCTAAACTTTGTCGTTTTAAAGATGGTGCTTTTTTCGAAAAACTTGCACAAAAATTGCAAAAAACATGAAAAGTATATTTGTCTATTTGATGAAACGGCAGTGCCCTGTTTATGGAAGACCAGTGGCGTACGAATAATCCAAGAAGTCAAAAAATCAACCTGCGCCCTCTGGATGAGGACATAAATCCTAGTGTGCAAATAAATGTTAACAATAACATTAGTTTAACCAGGTAGCAGACATAAAAAGCAATATTTCGAAATAGCTATACATGCTATAAGTACAAATACTGCAGTAATAGCGGAATAAATACCCTAAAGTTTGCTATCTCGAAATTATCTATTTCAGCTTCCGTTATTTACCAACATTGTGAATCGCGCGACCGTCAACTGTGCCCGAGTGACTGGATTCGACGAAAAGGCATGCGGTTCGGTTATTCACGAGGTAAACCGAATCCTGGTGCCTCCCACTCGTAACATTCTGGAGACTATCGAGGCGGAGCCCAAATACTCGACCTTGAGGGCGGTTCTCAAGGACACCGAAGTGGAAAAGGTCCTGCAGGAGAACAACAGGTCGTTGACCTTCTTGGCACCCACTGACGAGGTTTTCGCTGCACTCGAAGAAAAGGACAGGAAGATGCTGTTGGAGAATAAAGAGAAGGCTAACAACGTGTTGAAGAACCACGTTTTGACAGGTAGGTTGTTTGTTTCAAATGACGTTACCCATCATAATAATGAATCTTAGATCTATCATCTCCGACAGTGACTGGCAGATTTTGGTGCCACCCACAATTTTGAAAGAATCCACCCAATCTTTGAACAGCAAAAAGAGCTCCGATAGGAGATATCGTGAGAATGTGTGAGCCTCAAAGCTTATTTAGGAGCGAGAGAAGGAAAATTCTCTCTAGAGCTTACAGAACTTTAAGATCTTAGCGAAAGCTTTATGATATACACAACTATGTCATTTTTGATATTAGTTGCATGTTGTATCAAATAATACTCACCTATTCCTCACCGTTTTTTACTGTTTGATCTACTTTTAAAAATCGATGCTGGAACTTGACAGTTACACAAATCCCTCCAAACTCAACGTAGCCGATTTTTAACAAGATTTCGCCTCTGGTAGTGCTGCTGGGTTTTATAATGGCGGATTATCGAGAGAGCACTGTATTCAAAAAGATGAGACCGACATTACATTTGAACCAACACTTTGACTCCAGCAATTTCAGCTAAAGGGGTCATTGTTTATCAATTACTTGAACATTCTCGCAACAGCGTGGTTGAATCTACTGCGTATATGAAAATTTGAAAAGAGACTCTGATCAATTTCTTTTGTCATATCTGGCGAAGCTAATTTCCAGATGAAGGCACCATCCTCCTCTTAAAAGGATTTATCCGGTTATATGAAACATACCATTTGAAAAATCTTAAAATCTGTCAACTAATTTAAGACGAATGCACTTATACAAAAAATTTCCGAAAATGATCTGATTAAACGATCTCTGAAACGTCAGAAAATGGACTTTGATCGATTTCTACTCTTCCCTACTTTTGCCTGTTGTATTTTCGTCCTTGGCATAGCACTAACATTGTTCCAAAATTTATTCAAAATCATAGCGGCACTTTCCAAGTTAAAGAGAAGTCAAGGACTAGCAGACAGACAGACAGATAGGCATACCGACGGAAATGAGTGACATGGTGTTTCATGATGTAATGTAACATTCAAAAGCATATATACCATTTTTCAAAGGTTCGCATCTACACTACTTCCTTGCCTGTAACGTAGGGAGTAAAAACGTTCAACTTTGACAGCCCCCCATTGCGAAAGATAGAAAGTTTATTCTCTAAGATTATAAACTACCGATAAGAAGCTTCAAAATTAAGAATATCATGACCTCCGTATCATCTTACATTCAAAAGATAGGTAGGGAAACTGTTAATCTATAATACCCTAAAGGTTGCCCAAAATAAATGCCTTCTACAAGAACCTTTATTTTCTCGTTTATTAATCATACATCGTATTTTTTTCCAGAGGTTCTCTGCTGTTCGGGTGTAGGCCCTCAATCCTGGGGCTTCAGCAGCCTGGTTTCTACTCTAGGTGAAAGCCAAGTCGAAGTAGGCAGGACCGGCAGCAGGATCCGCATCAACAGGGCTGTGGTGACAAACTGTGATACTGTGGCTACCAACGGTGTCATACACACCGTCAACAAGGTCATTGCTCCCAGACAGCCACAGGTGGCAGCTATCGGAGGAGGATTCTTCCTCTTCGACCTTTGAACAGTGATATTTGGATACAATACGTGTTGGTTATGGACACAGAACATCGGGGTTTCGTTGATAGGACTCCATGTTTCTCTAGCCAAATGAACCATTCCACATATAAAAATCAATATGAAATATTAAATATATATATTATTCATAGTTAATTGCCGTAACTGTTAGGAGAAAATATCCTTGAATTTCTTTGGGTAGAAAGCAAAGTATTGCAAAAGTACACTCTCGTAACTTAAACCCGAGCTTTCGAAGATCTATGTCTTCATCGTCTGGAGCTGGAAACAATTTATTAGCAACAATTAACAATTAGGAGGAATAATAGTTACTTACTAAGTCGGCGAGATTGTTGCTGAAATTGTTTTTAAACAACAGTGCAGGCAACACATCATCGACGCTAAAAAACTGGACCGATGATGTTCGATTAGGACGGAATTATTTTATTATTAAATGGCAAATCATTTTGAAAGGTTTTGATTGATTTTGGAAGAAATTTGGAAATTTGAAAACTATCAACTATTGAAAATTCCTTCGAGATTTCATCTTTTTTTCCACCTATAACCTCCACATTATCCAACACGTGCCGGCCGACTGACATTCCATAGTGGCGTATGAAGTGTGACATTGACGTTATTGGAAGGTCATTCGTTGTGTCGTCACTGTGACGTGTGTTGCCTGCTATGTAGTGTGTTTTGTAATATAGTGCAAGAGATTGTGCTATTATTGACCGATGAAGTACAAAGGTATTTTCAAAACTTGATAGATGTTGCTTTGGAAGGAGCGTGATATGGATGTTATTCTACCAAACAACTAGGAAATGTGTAGGGAATATTCACACTTGAGAACAAAAGACTATGCGCAATTTTGATTTTGATTTTATTAAGATGATTGAAAATTATTATTATGTAGATTGAGCGATTATTGGGAGAGGTAGATGTTGGGGCAAATAAGTTGCTTTTCCAATTTTCTCTGTCCAGCACCGTGATATCATTGTATCTCATTTGATGCCCTGTGGAGTTGACGTGTGAAGCTAGAGCACATCTTTCTGGATGCAATGTCTACTCCATCAATTGTAATAACTGCAATCTCACATACGTAGGTCGAACTTCAAGATCCCTTAAAGGTAGAATAACCTCACATAAAAGTGATGCCCGACTGTCACCTGGAAGACAAATAAACAGAATACATTTTCATTTAGATCTGTACTTCCAAACATACCTTCCTGGTGGCAGGAGCTGCAGCAAATAGTAATTTGTATTTATGTAGTTTCATTTGATCAGAATGAACTAGAGTTTTATCTGCATGAAAACCGCACTTTCAGATGAACATGATTCGGGGTTTGGATCTGAAATTCTATTTTTTTTGTCACTTATACACAAATTCAACGTTTTATCTAATCTATTTTTGGAGATCTGAAGAGGAAACAATTGTTCTATATAGAACAATTTGTAATATTGACTAGCTAGAGCACCTAGAACAATGTACCCTCGACCACCATTTTGTTCTCTTCTACAGGGATACTATGTATATTACAACAGACTAGCTTAAATATCAGGTCGAAGTTATTAGTCAGAAGGTGTTGGGGTATTAAGTAAGCTGTCTAGCGACACAAGCTTCCAGTGATCCAAAAATAGCATCAGAATATTCTTTCTCCTGCTTACAAAGTACAAAAATATCTGTGTAAAAGTCAAACATATTTTCTGAACCAATTATAGCCAAAATCAACACTGTGTTGTCCAGAATTCAAAACCTAGTGATAACTCATGATAAGTAAAGTAGTTGTATTTTTATACTATGTGTATGACTGAGACGAGTACTGTAATCTGTAACACGGTGATTTGTTAACTTCTGGTTGGCAGCACTTGGTGCATATTTATTTTTTGCATTTTATAAGTGTATGTATGGTTTTATATTACGTTTAATAAACTATAGTTTCAGTATAATGTGCTTCATTTTCATCTAAAAGCTATTCTTGACAGTGGCAATTACAGGGTGTCCTTAAAGGTGGGTCTTTACAGAGCGTATAGATCATCAAGCAAACTAGATATTAAGTTTCCAAAAAAACAGAATGGACTAATCTGACCCTGCATCCTACGTGGAAAAGTACAATGTTTTTTAGTACGATGTGCATCGGTATTTCATTGCATTTTATTTCTTTATTAGTTCTGTTAGACCATCATAAGATGACATAGAACTCGTCAATGGAGGCAGTAGAGTAAGAAGTATACACAAAATAAGAAGATACAGATTAAAATAGTGCGTGGGAGCCTGTAGGATAAGCGAATATCTTGTTAAGTACCTGTTATGGTCGTTCAGCTTCGGAAAATCATCTAAATTAGACTTTACATGTAACAACAACTCGAAAATGTATATGGATGGCAAAGTTGGAACTCCCAGCTGTTTGAAAGAAGCTCTACAGCTGGACCTTCTGCTCTTACCTTGAAGTAATTGTACCACTCTTCTTGCATGGTGACACCTCATGATAATGTTGACTGTATATATGCATAGCAATGAGTCAACAGCAAAGATTTGTCAACGACAAAACTTAACTGACTAATTCAGTATATGTAAGGGGCTCTCAATATATGATCAATATGAGTATTTCAACTTAAGCAGCTAGTTATGTGGATATTCAAAAATTTTACAAAGCCGACCTGTTGAATGGAACCATAGAGTGACTTAACGTGCAAGCTAGGATCGAGGTTGGAGTTTGCATAAGTGAACCTAACAGATTGCGTTTTTTTTTCGTTGAGCAGGAGCTCATTATCTTGGAACCATTGCTGTTCTTTTTAGCTCTTCAGCAGAGATGTTGATGTTTTGCAATCTACTAATAAAGATGTATCGTCCGCATACATAACATAATTAGTGCTACTGATATCATTCACAGAAATGGTCCTAAGGTAGAGCCCCGCGGAACTCCCATTTCACTGTTATGCATTTCAGGTCTGTGATTTTCAATTTTAGCATACTGTGATCTGTTGAACAAATAATGACGAAACCACTCCAGTGGAAGTCCCGTATTCCTTAGCATTCAAGTTTTTTTTGCCCATATCAATACTACTATAGGGATGGTTCAAGAACTTTATTATTGCTATAGTAGTTGACAAACTCTTGCGGAAACCATACTGATCTTCATGAAACAATAGGTTTTTCTTTTGAAGTATTTCACTATACAGATTGCTACGTACAAGTGAACTGATCAGGGATACTGGTATGAAGTTTCCTACAAGACTGGAGTCTCCTATTGATACATGCTGAGGATTATCAGTTAGTGAGTTTTCAGTTTGTATAGCGATCTTTTTTTATTTGTAGGTTTTAGTATATTACACGCTGCTTTGGATTTGTCTGTTGCTTGCTCTAACATTCGACTGTTGTATAACTTTTTTACTGCACGAAGCGATTTTTTATATGTCTTTTTGTATAGGTTATAGTAATTTTTCATATCTGCATCCTCTCTAGTTAGATTGTTGGCTAGATGTAATTAAACCGTTTGTTAACCAAGGTTTCCTTTTTTTATTTTAGTTGATAGTGTTTCTTTAAGAGGGAAAGCTAACTCGAAGTAGTACTTGAATGCGTTAAGTAATGACTGAAACCTACTTTTTACATCACCATCATTAATATAGATATCAAGCCAATTTTATTTGCTTTATAACATACATCCAGAAAATGTTTCATGTTATTTGTATTGAATCAGGCGCCGCACAATGTGGAGGTTAACCTAGATTATTTACACATCGGATTTAAAAAAGCAAAATTCTCTACCTCCTGTAGCAAAAACGAAGATACCGATTTGATGGTAGTTTATGCCGAGTGTCGTCAGCATGCTATTGATACTTCGCAAATGTATTTAGATCGTTTTCCTTAACGTGTCTGCTTCAAGCTGCGTAAGTATGCTTATATCGTACATAGGCCATCGCGATTAACACAGATGAATACCTAATAGTCTAATCATATTAGGAAATTTCTCCGAAATAATTGTAAAGTCTGGTTTTATTGTTGCAAGTTCTTCAATGGGGTATTTAAAACATGGACGCATAAAATGGGTACACCAATTTTTTAGGGAAAACTTTTTATCCGTCAACAAAGAATGAGAAAATGTCTTTTTCGGGATTCAACCGAAAGTGTTGTCAGGAACCAAAAAACTCTTTGGATAGGATTTTTAGGTATTTATGAGACCTACGATCCGAGTAATAGTAAAAAAGTTATGGCTGAAAACCGAGGCAAGGTGCTGGTGACGGCTCACGTTGCTAACGCGACGATAATTTCACGGATCTACTTGAAATTCTTCAAATCCGTGGGCTTCATACTTCTAAATAACCGCAACAAAACTGGAGTCGATTGGTCAAGTGGTTTTTGAGAATTTCTAATTGCTTATCCCAAAGGGCATTTTATAGCGAAATACATGACTTTACCTTCCCAATATGAATCACAATTTTATTCTTATGCGAAAAACGAAGGGGATAAATAATTAGAAATTCTCAAAAACTACTTGACCAATCGACTCCAATTTCGTTGTCGTTATTCAGAAGTATGAAGCCTACGAATTTGAATAATTTCAGATAGCTGCGTTGAACTATCGTCGCATTACCAACAAGTGCTAAAACCTGCATCTTGAATCGGTTTTCACCCATAACTTTTTACTATTAGTCAGATCTTTCTACATGTGATCTAATTCTGTGGGTCTCATAAGTACCTAAAAATCTTATTTAAAGAGTTTTTTCGTTCCTGCCAACACTTCCGATTGAAACCCACAAAACACGTTGTCTCATTCTTTATTGTCGTATAAAAAGTTTTCCCACAAAAAATGGTGTACCCATTTTATGCGTCCATGATTTAAATACCCGATGAACAATTTGCATCAATAAAACCAGACTTTACAATTATTTCGCATGCCAGGTGTATTTTCGTCTAATATGACTATAAATAGGTCCGAATATTGCTAATTTAGAACAACCTCAAGCAGTATTTTACAAGCACCATATGAAAGGGTGGTACTTAAAATTACTTATCAAACAAATGATACTTTTTCGATTCATTAGCTTGGTTATTAACTTGTTGTTTCGGAAAAGGAAAGTCCCAACCTTCACGATACCCTGTATAAAACTGATGTTGGTCAAAGTTGGCCTAGTTTCCAAACTTCGCCTTCCCTTTTCTACTACTACTACTACTAATACTACTACTATCTACTACTGCTGGTGCGTATTGGCATATCTTTCGTGGTGACTCGAGAATAAAATAAACAATATATCATATTCTTACACCTTATTGAGTTCTACAACTTCAATAAAAAACTAGAAACATTATAAATACATGGCTTCGATACATTAGAATATGACAATACAATATTTATAGAATTAAAGTACGTTGTTAACAGGGTGAATACAATGCTAGATATAATTATACAACAACAGAACGAAATCTCACAATATCTTCCAAATTTTGACCTATAACTGTCAGATATTACTAGCGGTAGCAAAGTGTATGTCGTAGAAGACTCAGTAGTGTCATCGACCTTGCTATAGACAACGTTAGCAAAAGAGCCTAGCGCAAAGTCTTCCTCGTACATGGTCTGCAATGATAACATCTTCATGTAGATCAAAGGGGGTAGTACGAAGACCAATGGCCCGGTAAGGGTACCACCTATCAGAGACATCACTAAGTCGAAACGTGGTACCGATTCCGCTATCACAATGGCGAGTATTGTTAGGGTTGTACGGAGGATGCATCTTTTCGGATTGAAATCTGTAACACAATTCAGAGCTGGTAAGTATATTGAGAAAACTTAAAATAAGGAGGAGAAAGAAGAAAATGAGCAGACATTTAAGTGTGTGTTTGCGATTTTTTAGCTAAGGCGTGTGCCTGCACTACGGTATCCACGGGTATATAAGCTCTATGCCTCCGTAGAGGCTCAAGCATACTCGTAAAAAATAACGTCGTTGCTACATTTTTGAACCATAACTACCTCACACCGCTGTTATTCCAAATTTTATGCAAAATGAAGTAATATTTCTCATTCCGAAGGAAAGTGACATATAGTATGTAATACGAAAATGTTAGGTTTGTAGTTAGTCATAGAAAAGTCATTAAATATAGTCTAATTTATCAGAAGAAGTGTCATAAAGTTATCTTGCTTAAGTTCCGATAGATTGTATCATTTATTGCTGATAACGATGTAAAGGGTTGTCCAATAGGGACGCAGGAAATTAAACGTCAATTTGACATAGACGCCATACTTGTTTTCTGTCACCGACATGTCATTTTGTTAGTTGAATGTTTACCATTGATCGCTATGGAGTCGTATTCGCTTGAAGACCGCATTAAACTTATTCAAGAGCACTACAAAAATGGTGCAAAAATAAAAAATACGTTTCGCGCGCTTCGTGAACATTTCGGTCGCAACAACCGCCCAAACGAAACAACCAACAGTCGTCTGGTGCGTAAATTCGAGACAAATCTGCCAGGCTCTGGCCGGTCAAGGAGCGTTCGCACACCGGAAAATATTGCTGTTGTGAAGGAGAGTGTGAGAGACGATCCGAAACAATCAACAACGCGTCGATCCCAAGAATTGGGCACTTTGAGAACCAGTTTGCTCCGCATTCTCCACAAGGATTTGAATGTACACGCCTACAACATCCAATTGACGCAGGAGCTGCGTCGGGCCGACCATTTTTCGCGCCGAACGTTCTCAGACTGGCTTCTTTAACACCGCCAAATTGATGCCAATTTTTCATCAAAAATCAGGTTCAGCGACGAAGCGCATTTCACTTTGAATGGGACGGTAAACAAGCAAAACTGCCGCATCTGGGCAAATGAAAATCCCCATGAGTATCAAGCGCAGCCGATGCATCCTCAAAAAGTGACTGTGTGGTGTGCATTGTGGTCAAAAGGCATCATCGGACCTTACTTTTTCGAAAATGCGGCCGGGGACGCCGTTACCGTCAATTCTGAGCGATATCACGTGATGATAGAGGACTATTTTTTGCCGCAACTCGAAGGAATGGATATGGACGATGTTTATTTCCAACAAGACGGTGCAACATGCCACACAACCAACGTCAATATCCATCGATTACATTCCTTCTTCGGTGATCGCGTGATTTCGCGCAGAGGAAATGTGCCATGGCCACCAAGATCGTGCGATTTGACTCCCTTGGACTTCTTTTTACGGGGATATTTGAAAAGCAAAGTCTACGTCAACAAACCAGCCACCCTCCAAGAACTCAAAAACAACATCATTGCCGAGATAAATGCCATAGAACCGACCATGTCGCAAAATGTCATTGAAAATTTCGACCATCGCGTGGACGTCTGTAAATCCAGTCGTGGTGAACATTTGAGCGATATTATTTTTCATACATAAATGGTATAAATGAACCTTCAAAATAAAGTACCCAACTTGATTTGAATATCAATATTTCTTGTTTTAATATGCGTTTACTTTCCTGCGTCCATTTTGGACAACCCCATAGCTTTTTGATTTATGTCACTTTTATTAAACTGCTCCTATGTTGCCATTAAAGCTAACTTTGTGACTAATCACATCGTACTAAGAACTAGAAACTTTTACATGAATTTTACGAGGGATGTCCTTTAAGTATTGCATATGGAAATAAAACAACACGGTATGTAGTTTTAAATGACTTTATTGTTTTTCGAAGTATTCTCCACGAAGATTAATACAGATCTGCATGCGCTCGAACCAATTTTCGAAGCACTTATTCCACTTGTTTGCTGGCAGATCCAAAACGGCATTTTTGAATGCGTCAACTGCTTCTTCAGGTGACTGGAACCTTTGACCACGCAGTCTATTTTTAATTTTCGGGAAAGTAAAGAAATCGTTAGGATTTAGATCGGGACTATATGGAGGATGGTTCAGACAGTTGCTATTCACTCTCACAGCAGTCGATTTTGGTGATATATGGTACTTGAGCGATCGTATTTAGATAAGCCGAAGTAATCATTTGGCACCGGATTGTTACTCGTTACTCTAGGTATCTACGAGTCACGAGTATTCGAGTAACGAAACATTACTTTCGCAACATCTCTATTAAGTGATACGTGTTACATATTACCTCTAGGTATCTGCATACAGTCCTCCATCTGTTGATACAACACATTGTTACTAACTGCAGAAGTTAGACAAAGCTGTATTGCAACTAAGGTCGCAGCAAAGTGCAAAGGAATGCTGGTGGGCAGTGTATCCAGAATACTCGATTTTGTGTTTGTTCCATATTTTATTGCTGCTATGTTGGCAGTTATTCCAAACATCAGTAGAGATACTGGAAATAAAATGATAATCAGAAACACATCCAGTGATAACTGAACCTTTTGCTTGTAACAAGTAAACACTTCGCCTTAGTATACTAAGTGACATATAAATCCGAACACCCAGTTTAAATGGTTTTATTTTAATAAAATTTGGTGGACGCATAAAATTGGTACACCAATTTTTGTGGGAAAACTTTTGATTTGACAACAAAGAATGAGAAAACGTGTTTTTTGGGATTCAATCGAAAGTGTTGACAGAAACGAAAAAAATTTCCATATAAAATTTTTAGGTGTTTAGGACCTACAAAATAAGACTACTCGCAAAAAGATCCGACTAATAGCAAAAATGTTATGGCCGAAAAACGGAGCAAAATGCAGATTTTGACACTTGTTAGTAATGCGACGATGGTTTCTCGCAGATATTTGAAATTCTCCAAATTCGTAGGATTCGTACTTATACAGAGAGGTTTTTTCTTTCCTGCCGACACTTTCGATTGAATCCTAAAAAACACGTTTTCTCATACTTTGATGTCGAATAAAAGGTTTTCCCACAAAAATTGGTGTACCCATTTTATGCGTCCATGTTCTGAATACCCCCTTAAACAGCTTGCATCAATAAAACCAGACTGTACAATTATTTTGCAAATCAAGGGTATTTTCGTCTAATATGATCAAACTAATACGATAACTTCATGAGTTGGAGTGCGAGCACCTTGGTTGATCGCTATAGAAAATAGCAAAGCTTGAACTACAATGTGGACACTGTGTGACGTGTTAAATTTGTTGGAGTACTTTGGCAAAGTAAGTGAAAACAACTGTTTTCCATCACCCAATCCATGTGTGTGTGAGCAAGAGCGAGTAGCAGTTGAGTTAACGATCGGCTTGTGCAGTGTGCAATTTCCCTTGGGGAGCTTATGTTCCGCATATGGATTAGCTGGTCAATGTGTTTACCTATTTCGTATGAGAATGAGACGTAATCGCCAAGAATCGTGAAATAAGCTATAGTGATTAGTTTGTTGATAATCTTATTCAAAAGTGACCAATTCTTATGACTCTGCACGTTTCAGGGCGCAAACTCGCACCAAAATACTTGAAACAATTTTTTAACAAATTAATAAAACTCCTTCTGAACAAAAACGTTCCTATGAACTTTTCTCTATAGTTGCTCTTGCGAAATATGCAATTTTCGGAAAAATAAATATGGAAAAAAAGAAACTCCAATGTTGCCAAAGTTTCAGTTCCTCAAATACCCATTTTAAAGGATATTTTTCTTCCCATACCTACTGGAGCGAACATTTTGGCGTCATCTCCAGTGTTCTGATATGGAATCACACGTACTTCTGTCGCGCAACGGCATAGTGTTTTCTGTACTCTGACCGCGCTACCACGGTGCCACTTCTGCCTGAGTTAGTTATCGGGTAGAGGCGAGGTTTCCAGATGCACGGTAGGGCAAAGAAAAAATGTCAATGGACTAATTGCATGGACCTGGTTGACTGACTTTTTTCGCAGAGTGTCTTGTTTGTGATGAACATATTCCTTTATGCACTGATAAGGGCTTTGCAGGGAAATGCAGGATCAACCTACTTGACGCCATTTTTTTTTAGTTGTTGACCAATCATGCGCTCTATCTATAATATATTGTAGTCTTGCAGGCTCTGTATATCATGTAACTTACGATTAGCACCACCTAAGCTCTCAACTGCCATAATTTTCATACACGTAGTAATGCACTTCTATCGTATTTTTCTCACAGATTGACATGTAGAGTATAAGATGATTTTTCTTTTTACAGTATACAGGTATACCTACTTCCAAATCCTCCAAGAAGAGCTCTGGTAAGCCGGTACTTGTTACGCATATCCACTTGAATAGTTAAAATTGTAGGATGGATGTCAAAGAGGAATGTGATGATACCGTAAGCTTCTAGTATGTTCCTCCATAAAGCTACGCTTTTAACAGACTCGACAGGTCCACCGTTGCTACCTCCACTGTATATCAGACAACCACAAGTTAAGAGGAATACCAGAATCACCATACAGGCTGATGTAGAGCACAAGCACCTAAAAAATGTTTTCCTAAACCTTCTAATATGTGGTGTCAATAAAGTATCTGGTCTACTTGAAGAGGTGATCTTAAGACAACAGTGCTACTAGAAATGTTATTTGAAATGTGATGACAATGTGGATGATTGAGATGTTGTTTTTCGGAATTCCATTGTCTATGGATTATTTGATTCACGACATTTTGATTGATGTACTCTTCAATCGTCGTCAGGTGAACTGACTTGCATGATGACATGGCCGGTAGTTGGTTGTGACGTGTCCCTCGTTCCGGCTGGTTGAGTTACAGATGACTGATGTTTCTTACAATCAGTTATAATACAGGTTTAGTCTCCACACTTGTATTACTGAAAACCTTTTCATTAATTATTATGAAGGCTGCTTCCTTGTATTTTGTCTGATACTATTGCCTTTCTTTGTGTAAGGTCCTAGCATGATCCCAAAGTATTCTAAAGTGCTTTGTACAAGCACGATCTGCCATCCTAGATTTATTAGTTTCTCCCATTCCGTGTGGGATGTACGCTATTTACTCTCATGGAAAAGTGATCTTTTTGTTTCTCATATGTACGTCTGTCTGCATTCATATGATACCAGGTATGCACAATCCTTGATGTTCTAATTTTTGTTCGTATGTCTTATCTTCTTGAGGATACTGCGAAGTGCAGTGTTTCTTGAGAATGTAGTTTTGATTTGGTATCGTAGTCCTATTCTTCTGATTGCACTACTTATTTCCTCAGCATATGGTATAATTGTGTATGTTGGGGTGCATGTTGTGTGCTTCTACTATTAATTGTTGGTGTTGTTTTTCATTTATCACTCCTTTTGTTAGCCATTTCTTATTAGATCTTCTCTGATTCAGTTGATTTGTTCCTGGAAATTTGTTGGTGTGTTGCAGATGCTCTTTGCTCGGTCGATGAAGGTCCTAATTACGCTACTATATTCGTGGTTGCTGGATGACTGGAACAGAAATTTAGGTATAGTCCTGTATGCGTTGATTTTTTGCATAATACAGTATTTTCGATTATGGGATATTGTTCTTTGTTAGTATAACGTCCAAGAATGGGAGGCTGTTGTTGTTCTCTTCTTAAATTGTAAACTTCAACAAAGGTCCTGGATTGTTCAGATGTTCGAATATGGGTTGCAGTTTCTATTCTCAATAGTTTCAAATTACGAAAGTTTCATCCACATATCGAAACCAAATCTTCGACTTAACACCTAAGCTTTTAATGACTATTGACTCAAGTCACCCCATATAAGTTGGCAACTACTTGTGGAAGCGGTGATCGCCATGGAATACCTCCCCCTTAGATGTTAAATTCTTCTTTAACTTGAAAATCGTTGAAAATTGTTTTTTAAGCAGTTAGTAGTTCTATTACCCCTTCCACCAGTAGGCTTGTTTTCTCTTTCAATTCCCGATATTCTTTAAGCCTCGTCTGGATTACATGTAGAGCTTCTTCAACCGGAAAGTTAGACAAAGCACCACATAGTACTCTGGGAACATGCTAAAATCTTACACAAAGAAACACACTGGCATCGGAGAAAACGACACGGGGGACACGTTACAACCAATTACCGGCCACGTCATCAAACGGTATAAATAGTCAAGAAAGAAGCATGTTTGCCAATCACCTGATGAAGACACATCAATCGAAACGTTGTGAATCAAAAAACCCTAAAGTCAATGGAAATCTGGGAAACATCTCAAGCTACTCGAAATGTTGACTTCTCAAATTTTTTTATGAAATTTATCAAATTTTAAAATGCTCAGATAAAACGCTGGTTTAAAATAAATCGAATTGGAAAATGAATCAATAAAACACAAACTTTTTCCAAAGGACAAAATTTAACGGATTTAGATCTAGATGGGCATAATCCTTTGTGTTATTTGAACAACTTCTTTCTTAATTCATTTTAGTTGGATGTCCAGGAACTATTAAAATTCAAGACAAGGACCTTAGTTTCCAAATAAGTCTCGGACCTCGTGTCTCGAAAACAAAGATTTACCAGAGTCTAACATATACATACTTACTTCATATCCTTTGGGCTGCCTAACCATAACACCGGACATAGCACTGTTCCAACTATAATAATCCAATAGCACAACGAAATACTGACAGTATTCTCACTTAATCTTTCACCGAGTAGTTGGAGATTCTGGGAGGCTTTAGAGTAGAAGAAGGAAAACACCAAAAGCAGACAAAAAATTTAAAATGATTATCTTAAACACCCTCGATATATGCAACAGAGCCAAAAGTCTTTGCCCATCTATGCCGAGTATCAGAGAAGGTACTGAACATTTTCCCGATGAAGTCACGGCTTGTGAACATCTGGGGGCCTTGCCACAGCGTACAGTAGTCCAGAACAACAATAAGTTCACGAAGCATACAATATTTTTTGAAAAGTTATGTAGGTCCCTGCTATCATGTTCATGCTTAGTTTATCTCTCAGAGCAGTTTGAGGTCACTTCAAGGTCATTTCAAGGACATCAACAAAGGAAGTCGAGCATTTGAGCTCGACCACTCATCATTTAATTTTTTCCTGGTTGCTGAGCCGGAACTATGTCAATAATTCATTGTTATGTGAGCATTTGAAGGTCACTCGAGTCTAGACGTGCATCAGATAGGAAAGCATTTGAAAGTCGTTTTTTTAATGACGCCCCAAACCATAACTCGTAGAGTATGGTTTATTATTTGCTTATTATTTGTTTATCATTATTAATATTTACCAAAGTAACTTGAAACAAATATTGACTAATTAATAATAATACAACAAGAATATATACTAAGTGACATATAAATCCGAACACCCAGTTTAAATGGTTTTATTTTAATAAAATTTTGTATAAGTACTTAATGAAGCATAATCAGTAAATGATAAAAATTTCAAAATGATTGCACTGCTTTAAAGCCCTTTGACCTTTAATAATGTGTGGATGCACCCTGATGTGCTACGCATTCTCCAACGCGCCTAGGCATGCATCTGATCAGGTGGTCAATGTCCTCCTGTGGTATCTCATTCCAGGCAACCACCAACTCCTCTCGAAGTGCTTCTAGAGTCTGAGGAGGACGTTGCAAATTGAGCAATCTCCTACCCATCATATCCCACACGTGCTCAATTGGGGATAAGTCGGGAGATCTTGGTGGCCATGGTAACAATGTGACATCATTATGTTGAAAGAAGTCTATTGTGACTCTTGCAACATGTGACCGGGCATTATCTTGTTGGAAAGTTGGATCTGCCAGGGTGTCAAGATAGGGTAAAAGATGGGGTTCTAGAACTTCGTGGATATAACGTTCCATTCCTGATCCCAGAGTGACCGTTGTCTGCACCACTCAAGGCGATTACGTCGGTGTTCTCGAGTTAAAGGGAGGACCCAGTGTGGCCGGTATGAAAACAAGCCAAAACTTCTCATTCGTCGGTAAACACTTCGCATGCTAATAGGTCTTCCGTGTTCTGCAAACCATTCATTTGCAATGGACCTGGTAGTGGAGAACCGGTCCCTTAAGGCCAATAATCTTAGGCGGCGATCTTCGCGGTCGGTTGCTCTACGGCGGCGTCCAGTGCCCCTTGCTCTTTGCGTTCGGCCTTCTCGAAGCCATGCCTGACAACACCTAACCACAGTGTCTACACTTCTTTGCACTCTAACTGCAATTGCCCGAAAAGAAAGTCCAGCTTCCCGAAGTCCCACTATACGGCCCCTATCAAACTCACTAAGTTGACGAAATCGTACAGGTCTCCGTACTCTAGGCATCGTAACTGATCGTAAAGGATGTCAAGAACCAAAATCCGCCAACGTTGATTCTTTACTGCGGCTGAAATATTCATTTTTAGAGCGTTAGTGAATTAAAAAAAGCTGTATAAAAACCGGAATGTCCAACTGATAAGGCTGAAAATTTTTTCACTTGTTATTTACAGTAAGATAAATACATTCACCAACTTTTATTAAAATAAAACCATTTAAACTGGGTGTTCGGATTTATATGTCACTTAGTATAGTTCCTCTTCATCAAAGACATCCCGATGACAGAAAGATGCACCTAGATGGTTCAAACCATCTGATGTGCTTTCATCATCCAAGCTTACAAATGAAAAGAAAATACAGTTTATTGGATTATAAAAAACAAAAAAAAGACAATGTTCAAGGTGCAGGTGCAAGAAAACTTTTCATCACGTTCTTCTCTGCGACGCCTTCTGACTCGTACCCGCTATGCTGGTAAGCTATGGTATAATGGACAAAGACCTTTATACTTTATATTTGATTTACAAACCTACTATCAAATTAGGTATACTCGCTCCAAAAACAGTAAGATCCAATAAAAATGTCACAAAATTCGCCAACCTTTTACCATAAGTTGTTTCGGCGAGAGCTGCATATGGGTATCTACTCTTCCTTTGTATATTAGGGTTGATCTTTTCTGCTATTATCCAACATTTTCCCAGCAGATTTGCGGTGTAAATTTGTGCTGAACATACTAATGTGATAAGTAAGATGCCATAGAAACCTGAAAATTTAATAACTTGAAGGGTCGTTCAAGCTTGAATAAGGTACCTGTACCAAATAAGGCCAAGCATCTAATAAGGCCATGCGTCGATTTTACAGAAACTATTAACATTTAAAATTTGAAATTTCTGCAGTTCCACAAATTTATTGAGAGCACTTAGCAGCCATAAATTCAGCAGCTGTGGAGCGGCGCTAGATGGCGCAGTAGGACAGAGTCGGTGCCTTATAAAATTTCTGCTTTAAATTTGTCTCCATTTTTGCATGTTTCGGCTTCTTTTTGCGGTATCTCTGGTTAATTCAAATGGGTAAGTCTATAAGGCATATTGCAGGTAGTTATTTGCTATTGCCAGGTTTTGAATGATTTCAATTTTGTAAATATACTAAGTGACATATAAATCCGAACGCCCAGTTTAAATGGTTTTATTTTAATAAAAGTTTTATCTTACTGTAAATAACAAGTGAAAAAATTTTCAGCCTTATCAGTTGGACATTCCGGTTTTTATACTGCTTGTTTTTAATTCACTAACGCTCTAAAAATGAATATTTCAGCCGCAGTAAAGAATCAACGTTGGCGGATTTTGGTTCTTGACATCCTTTACGATCGGTTACGATGCCTAGAGTACGGAGACCTGTACGATTTCGTCAACTTAGTGAGTTTGATAGGGGCCGTATAGTGGGACTTCGGGAAGCTGGACTTTCTTTTCGGGCAATTGCAGTTAGAGTGCAAAGAAGTGTAGACACTATGGTTAGGTGTTGTCAGGCATGGCTTCGAGAAGGCCGTACGTAAAGAGAAAGGGGCACTGGACGCGGCCGTAGAACAACAGACCGTGAAGATCGCCACCTAAGATTATTGGCCTTAAGGGATCGTTTCTCCACTACCAGGTCCATTGCAAATGAATGGTTTGCAGAACACGGAAGACCTATTGGCTTGCGAAGTGTTTACCGACGAATGAGAAGTTTTGGCTTGTTTTCATACCGGCCACACTGGGTCCTCCCTTTAACTCGAGAACACCGACGTAATCGCCTTGAGTGATGCAGACAACGGTCACTCTGGGATCAGGAATGGAACAGTATTGTCTTTAGTGACGAGTCTCGATTTTGTTTAGGCATGCACAATGGTCGTGCCAGGGTTAGAAGGCGACGTGGTGAAAGGAGGAATCCACAGTTTTTTGTTGAAAGGACATGTTCATCACACTGTTGGAGTTATGGTTTGGGGTGCTATAGCTTATGGTTCCAGGTCACCTTTAATCTTCATCAGAGGTAACATGAACGCGCAGCGTTATATCCACGAAGTTCTAGAACCCCATCTTTTACCCTATCTTGACGCCCTGGCAGATCCAACTTTCCAACAAGATAATGCCCGACCACATGTTGCAAGAGTCACAATAGACTTCTTTCAACACAATGATGTCACATTGTTACAATGGCCACCAAGATCTCCCGACTTATCCTCAATTGAGCACGTGTGGGATATGATGGGTAGGAGATTGCTCAATTTACAACGTCCTCCACACATTATTAAAGGTCAAAGTGCTTTAAAGCAGTGCAATCATTTCGAAATTATCATTTACTTATTATGCTTCATTAAGTACTTATACAAAATTTTATTAAAATAAAACCATTTAAATTGGGTGTTCAGATTTATATGTCACTTAGTAGAGTAGATTTAATGTTAGATGTGCGTGATAATGCCATGCTAAATGGTTCCCAGAAGAATAAAGGCAAAAACTGGTACTGCTTCATATGTATCGATTCATAAGGATGAGATACGTGACATGCATCTGTGTGTAATATGCTTAAGATATGTCCATGAGGAATGTGTAGGCTTGTGTAGAGTCGATAAGGTATCATTTGTTTGTCATCAATGCGAAGGGAAAAACAAGTTTATTTTTTCTACTTGAAATCTACCTGGATTTAAGAATTACTTATTGTTGTTAATTAGAAATAAAACTTCGCTTATTCAACAGTCTTGTTTTATATTTTGAGCGTGGCTTTATTGATTACTAGATCACGGCCTTATTTGGATACCTGGGTTCCTAATAAGGCCAACGGTAGTGTTTCAAGAAATATATATTTTTTATATGAAAAGAAAAGTTTTCGGAGCTCTCCGATACAGGCTATTCACTGAATATAGGTACTTATAATAGTACCTTTAAAATTTCATGATCGTTTCGTAGATATTTATGAAGTTACAGATATCCAAACGTTAACGTGGCTTTATTTGGTACAGGTACCCTATACAGGTTTCTTCAATGTAGTCCCATTCGTATATACAACGAAAAGGTTGCACCCCGATTTATGACTCTCCTGGTATATTTTGGAAAAAAACGCTCGGACACATCAATTTTGATTTATAGGTGGAAGTCTTTTCATCTATAGCCGTACAATACAGGGTGATCCATAAATAAGATATTGCGTTGCACTTTAGGCTTTTAAATGGAAAGCCCATTTTAGTTAATTTTTAGATTATCCATAATAAAGTTTATACCTATCTTCAATCGTTGTGAAGCTATTTGAGCTTATAATAAAATAAGACTAACTTAATACTGATAATAATGGAACGCACGGCAAAAAACAATAATCATGGATACCAGCAAGAACATTTAGCATCAGTGTCATCGTATGTCATGACAAGACTTTGTCTTTCATTTGTCAGAGTAAAATCGATATTAAACAATTTTAAGATAGTGGCTTTTCATCAGAGAACATTTTTTTAAATGGAATGGGGGATGGATCCGGATATATCATTTTAACACATCTAATGACTGATGAGAAACTTGAAATACAAAATGACGGTCAAGTGGGCTGTCAAAGTTAAAAGTTGAAAGAGAGGTTCTATCCAAATTTCTGAGATATAAGAACTTGATAATCTAGGACAAGAGACCTTTCTGAAAAGTTTCGATGGCATAAATTTGAAAACGTCCCCTTAATTGTTGAAAACAGAAACATTATGCAACAGAACCTCATAAAATATATATCTCCTCTATCTCCTCTATCTCTCCTCTAATCCTTTGCCTGAAATACCAATATCAAATTCTCAGTGAGCTGGTTTGCACGAATACTAAAAATAACTAGCGACTGTCCATACGTAACGCATTATTTGACGTATATTTTAGTCTCTAGTCCAGAAAGTGTCTTTGCATCCGCTATGAAAAATATTGTGATTTGATTTTTTGCATGCTATTCAAAGAATCTTCTTCTAAAGATCTGCATGTAGCCAGGCCCAAAATTTCTTCAAGATATCTGAACATTTTTTTAAATATACTCCATATATTGTTTTCTTTCGCTTCAAAGTTTGTTCAGGTTTTTGGGATCATTCTGAAAAAAAGGTTCTAATGGGCTTTTCTCTGAAATTGACAGTTTCCGAGATAAGTATAAGCTATTTAATATTTCAAATACTGGAAAATATGCCATTTTCGACCCGGAAAGACATGGAGTCTAACAGAATATACATTAAGCGCTCGCTTGATTAACAATTAAAAGAGAAAGGTTCACACTAACAATACTCATCAAGTATTTTGGGAGTTTATTAATGCGTGATTGAAAAATGTTTGGCAACATTAAAGTTTTCCTCTCCTAAGGACATCCGAAGGAAGTTTATAAGAACTTCTTTTGTTCAGAATGGCCCAAAAATGGCCAGACCGAACAAAGCTATACTCGGATTTCCTGTTAAAAAAAATATTCAAACAATTTTGGAAACACAGTTTCGGGCCTGGCCACACGCAGATTCGTTGAATAAGGTTATGGGAAAAACATCTGGGCTGTCTGAGAATTCGGAGCTAATAACGTTTTTTTTTTCACGTCACAAGTTACAGATTGTATATAGACTATTAACTTTTTTATTTTTGAAAGTAGTATCTTTAAATACTAATCTAAATAGCTCTAGTCGAGGTACATTACCACAGTCAATTATAGCCTTGGGCAGGGTAACCACGGGGTAAACTCCAAAGACATCCAAGATACATATAATGGCAAACACGGTAGACAGACCATTTTCGTTGTTTCCATGAAGGTTCAACAAATGGGTCGATTCATCGTAAGGCATTTTATGTGAAAATGAAACAGATAGATCTGAATACGTTTTTACCAGAACAGGTCGCTGTTATTCACGGCGTATTGGATTTCACAGAATGTGTAGGGTTTCTTATTGTACAAGGCGAAAGTTTTCAGCGATACAGGATGTGAAATTAAAGCTCGATACATCGAGGATTTTTTAAATTTAAAGTGTAGAATTTTTACCGGCGTACCGTGTCGGCTGTAGAGTTAATACATTTATTAACGTATTCTACGTCAAGTTCCTCAATCGAAATAGTCGTTAGAGAGGCATCAAAAGGGAATTTAAAAAAATCCTTACGACATCTATATGACAATCGCAAAGCCAAGCCATTTCTTCTAAATTAATTTTTGTATTCTGCTACTCTCTCGTAGATCGCACTAGCACCTTTATATCCCCTTTTGGGCGCCAAAATACAGTAAATGGCTGTCTATTTTCAGATGGAATACGTTAATAAAAATTTATTAACGCATCCAATCAGTACGTAAAATAATGCCCAGACGTGACAGGCTAAATCTGAGTTTTTGTCAATCTGGAGAGTCCTTCTGAAAGTGGCTTCGAAAAGAAAGTTTTGGTACCTCAAAGTCGCAAAAGTCACGCGGTTTTACACATGTTTACTGAATAATGAGATGTATACGATAAACGGGATCATTCAGAACCATCTTCAGACTCAGATTTAGCGACCCAAACTACGTAGGTTAGTGATCACTCGAACCATATTTAAGGTGGGTTCATGCACGATTTAACGTAACTTAACTTAAGAAAATGAGCATTTAAAGCGCATGCGCGGCCAGGATTGCCAATGTAGCAATGGCGACAATATCAACATTAAACACACTAACAAAATCATATGTTTAACGTCAAGGTAGCAGATGAAAGAGTGTTTTGTGGCTTATGTGTCACGTGGACTGGCGGACCAGCCTTGACATTGACAAGTGGCCCCTCCCCACACGCTTGCGCCAATGCACGTCACAGAACTCGGATAATAGTCCAGATAATATCGGAACATCTGCTCGGAAAACTCTTCCGATTCCTATTTTTGCATAATCTGATTCAAGGACCTCTTAAAGAATCTGCATGTGACTAGGCCCAAAATTGCTCCAAAAATTGTTATTAAACAGATTCCAAAAATTGATTTGTTCGCTTTGTTTAAAGTATTTTGCGGTTTTTAGGACATTCTAAATAAAAAATGAGCTTTAGAACTTTTCTCTAGACTTGATATATACAGGTATAAGCAATTTAAAAACTCAAAATATGTCATTTGCTACCCTAAAAACAATATGAAAAATGAATATTTTGATGTTGCCAAATCTCACACATGCTTCAACCAACCAATAACAAAACCCCCAGAGCATTTGAATGCGCGCTCAATGTATAGTCTATGTCTATGTGAACGCGAGAGAGATGAAATATCTCTCGTGCACGCTGAATATGCATTGAGCGTCCGCTTGCATATCAATTAAATACAAAGATTTAGAATAACAGTATCTCCTAAAAGGTATCGTTAATGGTTATTTATGAAGCATGGCGACATTAACATTTTCGTTTTTTCAGATCGTTTTTCGGTATCGCAAAATCAATTTTTCCCATCTCGTACAAAATCAACTTTTGACAAACATTGTCAAACATCATTTTGTTTCGGAGTATCAAAAAAAATGAATGCTACCTTTGATGAAGCGAAAACATTAATTTTGGTAATTTATTTGAAAAAGTTGTTCAAACAATTAGAGACGCAATTTGGAGCCTGACAACATGTAGATTTGTTACTAGGAGGCTTTTTCGAATAACATGCAAAAAGTCCGAATCCGAATATTTTCCTGAGCAGATGTGAAGATATTTCTTGGACTATAACCTCGACGGCAGCGCCACTTTTCTTGGCTGGAAATCTGGTGGAACTATAAATATTGAAAGTATGCCGACAACGCTTATCAGGAATGTCAGAAATTTGTCGGCGATTTCATTTGTTTACATTACGAAATCTGACTGACGACCGATGTTGAGGCAGTTCGATGATCATAGATGCATAACACATCCTCAATAAAGGGAGTATTTCTTTCATCAGTTTGACTAGTAATGAATTTCAGGATAATAAAAAATTTATAATTAAAAAAATATTTACTGAACAGTCACAGCAATAATAGAACAAATTCTTCATTACAATAAATTGTACATACATAGAGGTATTCTACTCATCTGGATTTTTCTCTATATTATGAACCTGATCAGTGCAATATCATGCAAGCACTATCTCTTGTTAATTGATCATGTATATTTATTGCGAAAACATAAATACTAAAATAACAAAAAATACATCTATAGGTAGAGGACTGACTGGAATACAAATATAATCAGTCTGATATGTGAATCAAAAATAGTTTTGCGCACACTGTTTAATGGGTAAAGGCAAACAAAATTGTCCTCAACAAAAAAAAAACACATAAAACAGTAATTGTTTCTTCAAACTAGGAAACAAACTCTCATTGACAATTAATTTGGTATCCATAAAATAAATGACGATCTTCATTCCAACTGTCTCCTCAAAGGATTTTGACACTGTGAAACAAAAAAAAAATTATTAGCATAATATCACTGTCATATTTGGTCAGCAAACACTAAACAGAAACATAGTCATCGCACCACGCCCCTTCAGGTGATACTGCTCTGTACATATGTATAAATTCCCAATCTAGCAGTATACATTTGATTGTTAAAATTCTGTGTTTAAAAAAAAAATTTTCATTGGTGATACCAAACGCCAGTCCTTAATTTGGACCTTTACCAGGTTTGTTATTACCAACAGTATAGATGTCACAAAAAAAGTTACGTGCTACTCAATCTGTTTACCTCAATAAACGTCAAAAGAGATTACATATTTGGTGGGCTGCGAATACACAGCATTCGTCAGGTGTACACCTGGTTTGTAGTTAATGACAAAGTACCTTCACAGTGTTCTGTGAGGTTTTGGAAAAACATGTCATGGGGGGCATGGTATAGATTTAAATTCTCTTTTTTCTTCTGTAGGGGCTATAATTTGCCAACATCACCACTGGTACAGTCTCAGACATGAAAGTGTTTGCATCTATCAGCTATGAAGTCAGTACTACAAGCACAAAATTTTAAGATCATTTCCATTTTTTTTTTCGTTCTCTAGGATATAATTTCAAAATCCTCTATCTTGGTAAGGGGCAATTTAGGACCCATGTTTATTTTTTTCATGCTGTTTTTTGATCTAATTTATGAAGTAAACATGACCACTGACTTCAATTATTATAATTTTTAACATACATGATTTTTTTTATCAATCCGCCCCGATGTTCAGCTCTAAACTCTCATGCGTAAGCAAGCGCAAATAATTTTTCATACAACTATCACCGAACCATCTGCCCATACAGCGATATAAAATCGATCAAACATCACGATATAAATATCGACTATCGACTTTTGTGCAGTATCGATGGCTCGTAGCCATCTTCTAATTCCAGCTGTAGCGATCAGCTGACCAACGCTAGTGATCCGATTGGTTGGTTCTTAAGAAAAAGTTCAATATATTGAACTTTATTTTAAAAGTGGCCTTGAAATTAAGAAAACGACCATAACCTCAATATATTTTGTCATTTATGCAAAAATGAACTGATTTGGATACTTACTGCAACGTCATCATTAGGCGCTCCTCTGGCGATGTCCGATTGCGTTCAGGTGACTTCTGCAGGTACCTCTTCAACAAGGTCAGGAGTTGATACCACCGCGGTTTTTCGTTATTTTTGCTCTAGGCATGGCCATCCTCAATTAATCGCACAAAAAACAAGTCAAAGGCAGAAAAACATACCCGAAGACGAACACCAAAACAAATCTCTACCGCAAATTCGTCAACAACTCAGACAAAAACAACAGATGAGTCACTGCCTGGCTTTCTCGGTAAATCGTCGTGGAACACGAGACACCACAGAATTAATATAATTACATCAATACGAGCATAGAACAGTATGGAAAGGGCTATCCAAGGGTAAGACGAGTTCCGAAACCACCCGAATCATGTCAAAAAATGGGTGTGACATCACCAAAACGTTTGACCACCACTGGAAATCACTAGCTAGTTACCCTCTGGCGGCGAAACATGTGGAGGACACTGGTGTAGAAACAGCTGATCCTTAAATTCGGTTAAGTTAAGTCGTGCATGAACCCGACATTAAAGTCGAGATATTAGCCCGACCATGCTTCTACAGAGTGCGGTAGCAGGGCACTAGTGGCCTCGTGCGAGAGGCGGGAATATACAGCTTTGTCCCAACCCAGTTCAGTCACCATCATGCATTGGAACAGTGATGAGCGTGCTTTTGCCGTTGATGCCTACTTTTCGACCTGTGATTACAACCCGGCAATCGCTTTAGCTTAGCCGCGGTCCACAGCCTTCGGCGCGCAAACATGCGTCTGCCCTTGGACTTTACGATCGTTCCGTGATGAGATGATCTTCATTTTCATCGTTACAAGATGGAAATTGTGCAAAAACTTTATGTCCAAGACTTCCCTTATGAACGCGTGCGAGCGTGTTCTCTAAGTCGATCGTGAGGATGCTATTGCCTTTTTTTCAGTGATGAAGCCCATTTTCATTTGAGCCGATCCGTCAACAAACAAGACATGCGCTGCTGGGCTGACACGAATCCTCTAGAATTTCATCAACGGATTCTGCGTTCACCTAAGTCACAGTGTAGTGTGTCTTTCCCTCTGCTATAATTCGTTTTTTGGGTCCCGCGTCTCTGATCTGATTGGATGCTTGTTTCCTGGATAAATTGGGTGCGTAGATTCTGACGGCGGTCATCATGCGACGGGCTTCGTCTATCTTCACTGCATTCGCGACGCGCGTATGGAAAATGTTTCCATCACTTTAAATCTTGACGCCAAATATACGGAAGAATCTGTTTGTGAAATAGGCACGTAGATTTGCCGGGACTAGAAGCGTACGAAGATATCTACCGCCAAATAATTGATGTGTACCCTCCCTCAGCCTTTGCAACCCCCCACTATTAATTTATTACCTCTCAAAGGAATTTCAGAAAAAGTAAGAAGAGCTTTGAAACGTTAAAGACGAAGCTTGAGCGATTTTGTTTTTCGCGTCGGTTCGCCACCACTACATCGATTTTCAAAAAATACAAAGCTTTTTGGTCCTCGACATAAAAGTAACCTCGTGTAAGAATTTCATCATAGTGACATGTTTACAACTCCACAGTTGGCGTAGAAAGTAAAATTCCCTCTTTGGTACTGACGTAGTTAATTTTAAAAATCGTTTTTTGAAGAAATTTGGCTTTTTGAAGGCTAGTTTTCACATTTGAGGGAAATTCGTATAATTTTTTTCTGAAGAGACGTTACGTATCGGAACTCGGAGGAGCAAAGTTCATGAGCATATCGGTATAACAAAGCTAGGTACAAATCAGAAAACAGCTTGATTCAACAGTGTAATCATATTTGCTAATAAATAAATAACAATTTAATAGTATCTGTGTTTTTTTTTTGGTGTGCTTAACGTTTCATTCTAACATTTTTATTTGACTAGAGGATCTAGGTAGGATGTCACATCGTTGAAAATCTCATCTGGCGACCTTTCTGCATTTATCTGAAACAAAAAAAATCAACTCAAGTAGGTTGAATATGTACTCCCTACTCACAAATTTTCGTATACAACTTGTTTCAGATTCAAAGTGATTCTGAACCTCTTCAAAAAGGTCTCCAAAGCTAAGCCACACAACTAGGATTTTTATGTCCTTAGAAAATCCAATAATCGGCGTTACTTACATCGAGAATCATGCTTTTTAGGAAGCATTATCACTCACTAGACAGCTTTCAAAATTTTAGTTACATCCGTCATCTGGTTTCATTTTTATTGCCGATTAAAAAGAAGATTTTGTTTATTTATGGAAAAACTGAGTAACGATGGAGAACTACTTGCTTGCGTTTAAAAGATTTCACACAGAACAGATCAAATAGATGAAGTTCATGGCACATTTGATCTCAATATAATCTCAATCTCACATTCAAAGCGAAATTCAAATATTTGCGGACGATACATTGATATACAAGTAACTGATAGGTAAATAGGTGTAAAACATTTTAGGAGGTGATAGTACAGCCCCTTTGCTATCGAAATTAGTATATAATAACCCTATATTCAAAGGTTGAAAAGTTACTGAAGATTTAAGATTTTTTTAAAAACAATCCATATTTCAGAGAAAAAAAGTTATTATTATTTCAATAATTAACTATTATAAATTAAAAAATATTCGAAAACAATACCAAACAACGTATTTATTTTCATTCAAAAATGTTTAACTAAGAAAAACAGATAACGTTTTACAGTAAGTAAGGTGTTTTACAAAAAAATCAGTATACAAAAAAACGTACAAACAATTTAAATAATATCCTTGTGTCATAAGGAATCTAAATTGGTATGATAAGTGCACAAAAACTGTGTGAAACTAAACATAATGTATTGTAATACAACAATAGGGAGTAAATTTACCAATGGCTTGTCTCCTATTTTCACAACTCTCTGATTGATAAGAAAGTGTTTTTGTGAAAATAATGTAACTGTAAGCTATGGGATAGTTATTATTTTAAACTACGGTTAAGTTACACGATTAGATTATTTACACAGTTGTAATTGTACTACAGAATAATAAAAACTGACTAAAAGTTACTACAATTGGTAAGTAAAATACAATAATGAAATGAAGGTAAAATTCATTGCAATTGTTGTTCGAACTGACGCCCGCCGTTGCTTATGCAAGCCCGTAGTCTTTTTCTCATGTTGGTACGCGTGATGCGGCCAGTTAGTTGTCCTCTGATAGTGTCAGCAGCAGCAATAATTCTTTCTTTCAACTGTGCAAGAGTGTCTATGGGCTCAGCGTATACCAGTGACTTCATGTGCCCCCATAAATAATAGTCACACGGTGTTAAATCTGGGCTCCTTGCTGGCTACGGTGTCGGTCCACCTCGGCCAATCCAGCGACAAGGATATTTCTCGTCCAGCCACTGTCTAACACCGACGGAAATGCGCGGGACAGCCATCGTGTTGGTAGATCATCTGCATCCTGATATTCAGAGGCAGGTCTTCGAGATACTCCCAGAGTTCGGATCTCAAAAAGTTTTCATAGATTTCGCCATTCAGGTTGTCAGGCAAAAAAACTGGTCCAATTAGATACGTATGAATGATTGCCATCCACACGTTTGCCGAAAATCTTCTTTGATGGGCTCTTGGCTTTGCCATATGGGGATTTGCCTCTCGTGGGGCCCAATAATGTAAGTTGTGATAATTTGTTGTCCCCTCTCTGTCAAACTTAGACTCGTAGGTCCACAATATTTTAGTTAAATAGTCGTTTTCTTCTTGATCCCGATGAAGCATGTATCGACAAAAATCAATTCTTCTTGCGGGATCTCCTTCTTCTAATACTTGAACCGGTGTGTAATGGAAAGGCCGCGGCCTCGCCGAATGCAAAACGAACCAAACTTTCCACTGAGTTAAACCAAGCTGCTTTGCTATAACTCGTGTAGACGTCGTCGGGTCTCTGCCGTAGCATTCCAGTGTTGCCTCTCGATCTTCGTCGTCAAACAACCGAGGTCTACCACAATCATGACGTCTCTCATGAACCTGTCCACTTTCCTTGACGCGTTGGTACACAGAAGCAAATACTCGATAACTCGGTATTCGCCGATTCGGAAAACGGTTTTCGTATTCTCGCCTGGCTTCAACGGAATTTCCATCACTTAAACCATAACAAAACAGAATATCAGCGTATTCTTCGTTACGGTAACTCGCCATTATTAAAACTGATCAAAAAAGTAAAAGTACGTCCTACCGCGTTAAAGGTTGATATTCTACTAACTAACCTAAGCGTTAGTTCCCTTTCCTTGATCCGCCAGCTGTGTCAATTCATAACACACGCAGAGCTTGCATCCGAGGAGCGACGACAGATTCCGAATATGTACTTAAATCCGAATAACGGCACAGGGCACAAAAAATAACAAAAAGGGTCGAACCATGAAAGGCTCGGTTTACCTGTTCAGTACAATGAAATGCGCTTAGCGGTCCTTTCTAGCAAAGTAATATAGTTTTGCTAAATGGTTTACTTACTGATATGTTATTATACCATTTTAGAAACCTGATGAAACGAGGAAGTTTTTGCAGTTATTTGTACATTTTCTCTATTATGATTTAAAAAAAAGACTTCTTAATGTGAAAGTTGAAAATAAAAATTTTCATTTAACATTTAAATGAAAATAAATACGTTTTCAGTAGTGTTTTCATATGTTTTTTAATTTATGAGAATTGTTTATTTAAATAATAACCTGAAACCACCAAAAAAAGAATGTTTAATCACCAACTTTTTTTTCTCAACTGTTTTACTCTGTAATCTGGGCTGTTTTTTAAAAAAAATTAAATCTTTCATAACTTTTTAACCTTTGAATATAGGGCATGGTATTATATACTAATTTTGATAGCAAAGGAGCTGTACTATCACCTCCTAACATGTTTTACACCTATTTACCTGTCACTCTGTATATAGCACATAAGCATTTGGACACTGCTTTAGAACTGTTAAATAGTGATATTAAAAAAATCATGAATTGGTTAAATGTCAATAAACTTAAATTAAACACTAATAAAACAAAATCTATGTCAATAGGGAAACATTTAGGTGTCAATACAATTAGGCTCATAATTAATGATGAACAAATTGAAGTAGTCGAATCATTTAAATATCTTGGTATATATGTGGATAGTAAACTACTGTTTCATGAGCATTATGCACTATTTCAAAAATAAAAGAAAAATTACTTCTTTAGAGTTTCCCATAATCTTAGCATGTATTTTTATATTGTCAACCATCTTGTTTATAGCAAAGGAAAACATATTTTCAAAATTGAAAATTCCACAAAATAAAGCAATGAGAATCATTTTAAATAAAAACACATATGCTAGGATTAAGTCTATGTTAGAAGAACTACAGTGGTTGAATGAGATAAATTTCATATATTACTTTTTTCATATTCACATTAAAAAATCATTTATTACCACCACATTTAGAAAACTTCACAAAATTAGGTAGTTATTATCATATCTACGAAACTAGAGGCAGTATAGATTTTCATCTGCAAAATTGTAATAGTAGCATAACTGGTAAATCTATATCTCAAAAGGGAGTATTTAAATTTAATAAATTGAATAATGATATTAAACAGTGTTCGAATTTAAAAATATTTAACGTGAAATTAAAAAGTCAGTTTATGAATAATCAAAATGCATAGTGATGTAATTTCAATGGACAAGAATCTAAAATTACAGAAAATGGATTGAGGAAAAATATGTAACCGAATCATTATACAAAATTGGCATTGTAGCATTAATGTTTAATAAATTTTCGGCAAACAAACAAACAATGTGCTCCTGTAATTTGTAGCAATTTGTTAAGCGAACTTGACGTTCAGTGGAAGTGACCTCGTCCCGATGCGTTTGACAGGGCGATGTGATGTCATTTTAAGTGATCGACGAATAGTTGAGATCAAAGGCATATCACAAAGAACAGTCTTTCCAATTTTGCATGAAAAATGCATTATATGATGAACTAAAGGTGTTTGACGCTTTGTTGCAATCCTGGTCACTGTTGATGGAACGTGAGTAAACTACTACACTACACTGACAAATCAGCAATCAATTATCCTTAAATTGTTGTTTCTTTTGATATCGTTACGGAGGCACATGTAAATTTTCAGACCATTATAAATGATTGAATCTTTCACAAGTGTTGATTTAGGTATTACTAATTTAAGATCTTGTTTTCGTTTAATACCGTAACATATTTGATGATACCGGGTGCGCCAGAGAAACTTACTTATTTGAAAAAATTCCCGCGCGGTGAGCTGGGCGGGTAGAGGGGCGAGAGGCGGCGCATCTGGAGGGGGAAGTTCCCAAGTTTATTTCTCGCTCCAGTCAGTTGCCATCATGCTCTGGTCTAGAGAACAGCGGGCCTTCGCAGTCGAGAGCTTCTTTTCTAACGGTCGCTCAGTTGTTGCTACGCAACGTGCCTTCCGCGCTCGCTTTGAAATTCCTCCTCACAGACTCGTTCCTGGCCGTAATTCGATTCTGTCGTGGGTTGACTCATTTCGGGAGTGTGGAAGTGTCGCTAAACCCAGAAATGGACTTCAACGGACCATCAGAACTCCGAAAAATGTCGAAAGAGTGAGGCAGTCAGTTGTGCGTTCTCCCCGGCGTTCGGCTCGCAAACACGCAGCTGCTATGGGAATTTCTGACACTACTGTTCGACGAATTCTCCATGAAGACCTCCATTTTCGTCCCTATAAATTGGCTGTTGTTCAAGAATTAACTGAAAGCGATTTTGTTGCCCGTCAAAATGCATGTGAAATGCTGGTTGACAACCTGCCTGAAGACGCGGTCGTTTTTTTCAGTGACGAGGCTCACTTCCACATTTCCGGCTGCGTCAACAAGCAAAACATGCGTTATTGGTCTGGTGTGAATCCACGTGAGCTTCACCAGAAGCCACTTAACTGTGAGCGAGTTACAGTCTGGTGTGCGATGTCGGTAATGGGAATAATTGGTCCTTATTTTTTTGAAGAAAACGGACGCGCAGTTACCGTGAATGGAGCTCGTTACAGGAACATGATCGAGGAATTTTTTCTTCCGAGACTCGAAGAAATGAACGTTAGGAACGTGTGGTTTCAGCAAGATGGAGCCACAGCACACACCGCACGAGACTCGATGAATTTGTTGCGACAACATTTCCCCGACCGCCTCATCTCTCTCAGAGGCGATCTCCAATGGCCGGCACGATCTCCAGATTTGACTCCCTGCGATTTCTTTTTATGGGGTTATTTGAAATCTCTGGTTTATGTCGATCGACCACGGACCATAGCACACCTCAAGAACAACATTCGCGACGCCATTGCCAACATACCGATTGATATGCTGCAAAGAGTGGATACGAATTTCAAAAATCGACTTCATCAGTGTATGCGCAATGGAGGTCGCCATTTATCCGATGTCATTTTCAAGACTACATGAAAAAAAAATTGGGATATTGTATTCTCGAATAAAAAAAAAATAAAACAATAATTGAAGTAATTTTGTTTTATTGACCTTTCAAATAAGTACGTTTCTCTGGCGCACCCTGTACAAACTTAGATTTATTTTCAAAAGTAGGAGTTGCTGTTCCAAAAATAAACAATGATACGACAGTCATTATTTTGAAATTTAAAAATAAATGCCTGCTTGTAGCTCTAGGATTGCTTTTAATTATATACCTAATAGTTTGTTTTTGTAGAATAAGCACTTTTTCAAACAATTTTGGGAAGAGACATACCAAAAGGAAATACTATATCTCAATCTACTTAAGGCTGTGCTTTGCTCTACTTTGTAGCTAATTGTACTTATAATAAAGGAAATACTGGCTAGTTGTATAAGCAGTTGGTCTGCATGATAATAAAATTTAATTCATAATCAATGGTCAGTTCTAAAAATTTGATAGTGTCTTTTTTGTGTATCAAGGGTCTTACTTTGGAAGTTATGTAATTATTAACACCATTTATATCTGAGTGTTACCAAAATATTGTGGTTTCGCCAGCAGAAACTACGAACTTACCATTTATTTTTACATTTATTAAAACGTTAATGCAAACTAAAAATATGATAGGATATAGTAATGATCCTTGGCATACACCTGCTATTATATTTAGTTTATTTGAAGTATAATATCTTGATAATCTTTCAATTTAAGATCGATTATTTGAATATGACCAATTGACTCAAGTTTCAGAACAATCATATTTGTTTGATTTTTTCAATAGTATGTTATAATTTCTTCAATGAGAAGCTTTGAAAAAGTCGCAAAAAGAGCAATCGGAATCTATTTATCGTTTAAACTTGAGTATAACTGTTCGAGAATATTGTGTCGCTACTAGATCGGTTGACTGAAGAAATCAAGAAAAGGCGTCTTAATTTCAAACAGAGTTATGGTGTTCCATCAAAACAATTGCTGGGTAGATACCTGTGCAGTTTCCATGGCCACAATGATGAACTGTAAGTTCGAACTATAACATCACGCACCGTATTCGCCGGACTTGGCTCCAGTTACATTTTTTATTACCGAATTTGAAAAAGTGGCTTGAGGAGGGCATCGCCCTAACAGATGCGTATCCTGAGGGCTTTCCGTACTATTCGAATGAGTATATCGAAAAATAAAAAAAACTGAAAAAGGACGATCTTCGTATAAAAATGCGTTCAAAGATAGCTAGGAGATAAGTCGTATTTTTTCGTACAAGCACCATGTGTTATTAAGTTTTTGGGTCCTTACCTTCTTAAGTTTATCAGGATACTGTGCAATTACTTGATCGTTGTGTGTATTGAAGGTATGCAACCTCTTCTTGATAGTTTCTTCGTTGTCATCCACTCTTCCTGAGGTTAGAGCTCTGCCCATTAGCCTATGCAAAAAAAGTTTGCAACTAAAATATGCTCTTATCTGATTAGTATAATATTGGGTTCCAAAATACCACTGGAGTATAACATTGAGGGCGGCGAGCACCAACCAAGCATACTGCAGAGAATATATGAAATTGGCGACTTCATTTGTTCAAATCATTAGACGACATTCTCAGTTCTGAAGCTAAACAGCTCTAGTCCATTCTCATACGGAACCAATTCCACGACGACTTTCATATATTTTGAGCAACAAACTAACTCATTTTTGAGTCCTCTCGGTTGGTGCTCGCCACCTTAATTGATGTAAGTTGTGAGTCACAAAAAATGGCATCAAGTAGGTTTCTTTGTACTTCCTACGCAATGCTGTCATCAATCCTTAAAGGAACAGTCGGCACAAGCTGGCCCCTCGTAAGAAAACTTGGCTACGTACAACAAAGAGAACAAAAGGACCATGTTAGTCAAACAAGCCCTTAGAGTTAATCCAGAGTCCCCACTGATTTGACAACATTACGATCTAGCTTACCGACAATACCGACCATGCAGCAACGTGGCTGCCAGCACGGCGTTGCATGCACTGCACGCATTATCGCTGTTATCCCTCAACATTCCAATCAAACGACAAGATACGCTCATTGAGTTCTCCGGCATGCGTGTACCGAAAATCATTTCTATCATCGAAGTTTCAAGGGCAAATGTAACCGGGGTCAGAAACGTACTAACGTAGGTGCTAGCACTAAAAAAAAGACATATGCTCTTCCGCGCTCCCTACTACCCTGAACAACAAATTTTTAACCTCTGCAAATTTTCAGACAATGATCAGGATCTTTTAAAACGTCAAAAACGAAGTTTGGTCGTTTTTCTTTTCATGTTTCTTTTATGGCTTCGGCGCCACTGGATCGATACTCAAAAACTATAAAGTTTTCTCGTCCTTGGGAAACCAGTAATCTTCTGAGAAAGCTTCATCAAAATCCGAGACGTATGTACTTTCCAAGTTATTGACGGGACAGACAGACAGACCGACGAACATAAGTGACATGATTTTTCCTGATAGTACTGAGAGAGTATATGTATGAGATAGTACTTTATTCATTCTGGAACCATTTAAAAATGAATGAATTTTGAATTAGATTTGGATCTTTAATTTATCAAAAGGTAAATGACAGTAGGCGAAAGAGTACGTACCTTTTCACCAGCGTTTCATCTGAGGCCTCAAAGTACAGCACCAAGTTCACGGGAGCGACGTTTTTCTCGAAAAGAATCCCTTGTTCCTTTTCCCTGGGGTAACCGTCAATAAGGAATCCTGTTGAGGTTGGCAGCGCTTTGATTATTGCTTCTTTGAGTAACTCCAGCACGACCTCAACAGGCACTAGCTCTCCACGCTCCATGATGGCCGTGAGTTCTTTGCCTCTTGCTGACCCGCTGGCTACCTTATTAAGAACAATGGAAAACATACATTATTCCAATATTTTTGAAAATTATGAGTGTGATAATTTTCATGTAGGTACATAAAGATTTTCAGCATTCATCTCGATTGAGCAAACCCCTTTCAAGATATTTATGTCTCTACATTCTACCGGTGTTGGATGGAGGAATATAGTCATGAATGTTTAACAACACTGCAGACCCATTGGCTGACAAATTATCCATAAGAAGCATTTCGTATCCATATATTTCATTGTTGAGGGCCTGTGTCCTCTCTGAGGTCTCGACCAATGCGCTGCTGGTGGTGGCTGGTATCCCGCCAATTAATTTGCTGAGGAGACATGCGCTATCTATAAAAACGGCACCGAAGGCAGACGCTTTATATCAAATAGCAGAAGAGACAGTATGCAACTGGCCAAGGTGCATAGACTCTAAGTCTGATTCCGAATATTAAAACTTTGAACAAGGAAGCGGGAGCGCACAGAGCATGATTGAGAGTAGATACTTAGAGATTGTACGTGAACTGCGTAAATTAGAATATACAGAATATACTTATATAGAGGAAACTATCCCTAATCATCACTTCGAATGAAATAGATGGTTTGACTTCCAGAGCAAGGGCAGAGTGGTTGATATTCAACCAGTAGTAAGGGGAATGATGCTGAACGAGATGCAGAAGGATAGTACCTTACTATTGCTTGGTTGTACATGTTCATACATATTATACATACGAATTCAGGCATATTGACTTATGGAAAATAGGATTCCTTTAGTATACGAGTATTAAATTTTTATTGGACTGTGTATAACCCAGCCGTTTGACTGAGTGATACAATACTGGAATGCATTTCGTAAAGGTGTTGCTCAATCGAAATTAACATAAAATACCTTTATGAGTTTTCAGTAATAAATACCAATAAAGCTGAGGTATAAAGAAGCCAGATTTTATCGTAAAACCACGAATCAAATTCGATGAATTAGAAATCTACCAAATGAAAAAACAATTTTTACAGCAAAACCAGGTGATTTATAACTAACTTCATCATTCAATCTGGAACTTAGAGACCCTTTTTACAGAAGTCGTATAATTTTTCGCTAGCATGAGAGATACTGTAGAAGAACTGTATGATGTTCAATAGATGCATTAATACTGAAATAGGTTCTTAAGGTTGTAACTAGCGCCTTGTTTATTTTATGCTAAAAAATATAGAACGATAATCGTATTTCGAATCCTCAAAAAGATCCTATTCCCAAAATTTCATTTTCAGAAGTCGCTGCGCTGTATCGATTGATGATTTTTGAATACATATATATTTTTTTTGGATGGATATTTTAAGGGTTACGTGGTGAATAGATTATGCTAAACTTAGCCCAATAAAGACGTTTTATTACTATTATTATTATTATTATTATTAAAAATCAGGAATGAATTCTCATATTTGATGAAATTACTGCCAGGTGTTACCTCCATTTTCTTATTTGGAGATGTCATAAGCTATTGAACTATACCGGGTATCCCAAAAGTATGGCCACACCCAAATACCTCGGAAACTAAGAGTGCTAGAAAAAACATTAATAACAAAAGTTTCATGAAATCAAATGGCTTATGTAATGATGACCGTGGACTGGACGTTAACATTCACCTTAAAGGTCATTTCTAGGACAAACTGATTTTTTCAAATGGGCACCCTCATTTTTATTGCAAAAGCAGAGAGAAAAAAATCCTTTCCAACAGTATGAATATAATAGGGACTAAAATTACATCTGGAATTATATGACTTTCAAGATAAGTGTCAACGTCGTTGATTTCCTAAAATTTGTATATCCAATCTTCTTTCTAGCATCCTTAGCTTACGAGATATTTGACTGTGTCCATACTTTTGGGACACCCTGTTTACTGCAGCAATAACACACATTATTGAATAAAATTTTATAGATATTAAAGCTGATTTATTACGAATTAATTAGTTTTTCTTTAAGCAACCCTAAGACTCTACATGAACTTATAGTCTAATCATATTAGCAAGTTTTCCCACAATAATTTTAAGGTTTGGATTTTTTGATACAGTTCTTCAAGGGGGTACTTAAAATATGGCAGCATAAAATGTGTACACCGCTTTTTGTGGGAAAACCTTTTATTTAACAGCAAAGAATACGGTGAGATTCAATCGAAAGTGTTGGCAATAACGAAAAAACTCCTCATCTAAAGCCGCGTACAGACCGAAAACCAACGCTAAGCAAATGAACGCAAGCACATGTGACGCCGGTGTTTGTTGCTGGGAGGTATTGAAATGCGCTCGTCTACACCTATATGTAGTTTCGAGTTGGACCGCGTTGGGTTAAGTTCGGTGCTAATGTCGAGCGACGAGTCTCCACTTATCGAATGCAGACAAACGACTAAATACTAGGAGCGCAACAAGTCCTACTCAGACCAAATCAAACCTCCCTTCGATGTACCGACCAAGGAGCGAACACAATCGAACGCCAACGTCGACCTTGGAAACTGTTGGCTTATGTGGGCTTGCACCGTACAGACCGATTCGAACACCTCCAAATCTGTAATCACATGTTCATTGGCTTCCGTTAGAATCATGATCTGTACGCGGCTTAAGATTTTTAGGTATTCACGGGCTTTAGAAAATCAGACCACACATAACATAATCCGACTAATAGCTACAAAATTATGACCGAAAACGTAGTCAACATGTAGGTTTTGGCGCTTGCTGGTAATGCGACGATAGTGTCACACAGATACTTGAAATTGCCCAAATCCCCATCTTTTATACTTCTAAATAACCACAACAAAATTGGAGTTGATTTGTCATTTTTAAGAATTTGTAATTATCTTCCGGCTATCACTTAGTTAATTAAGCTATTGCTACAAGATTCGTTCAAAGGCCACTTTGCAGCAAAATACATAAGTTTACCTTGCCGTTATGAATCACAAAACATTTCGAAAGATGAATGTCATTTTTATGCGAAAAACAAAGGGTCTTTGTCTTACGAACAAATTCAAGCATTTCGTAAAGGAATAGATGCGCGGAGATCTATCACTTTTTGTTTCGAAGAAAAACCATTTTTTTCAAGATTCCTTGTATTCTTGTGTATATATTTAGAGCTGAAATTTTTACACGGTCACACATGAGCCTTGAAGTTTATAGAAAACATAATTTCGTACTGAAATGCACTGAACTGTTCATAAAGCACACAAACTGAATACAGAATTATATTTCAAACTGTCTTAGCCTAGTTAGTATGTAGCATGTGCTATATGGCTATATTATTTATGGCTGCATGACTTTGTCAAACAAGTAGGTCACGAAATCCAGTTTCTTTTCGAAGAAATATAATTTGCTGGACTTTTTTTTTAAAAGTTGTAATATACTTGTAGTATACGTTTGTTTTCGAAACTTTGTATCATTAAAACGATTGCCAGTTCAAAGTGTTCGAAAGCAAACTTTAGAAAGCGAAAAGAATTACACAAATATCAAGCAATTGTAGGGAACCGAGCTTTTGAAAAAATAGGCAAAATGCTCAGTATTATTCTTTAATACATTACTTAAAGTTTCAGCATTGTATCTTCTATAGTTTTTAAGATTATCCGAAAAGTTTACAACAGGAGAAAGTGTCACAGGTCTTACGTTCGAATCCACAAAGCATATTTATTCTTCCTGTTTATTTGTTTATTGATTCTGTAAAATAGATGTGTTTTCACATTATGTGTACTTTTATTGTGGTCAAACAGCTTTTCGCATGCCATAGACAATGTAAATTTGCGGATAGAAAACCGGCGGTATACGCAATTACGGATGCTTCTTTATAACCTTCTTACATTACTTTGATAAGGTTTTAGAAACACTATGTCGGATCATACCAGATAATTTTTGGAACATATACTAAGTGACATATAAATCCGAACACCCAGTTTAAATGGTTTTATTTTAATAAAAGTTGGTGAATGCATTTATCTTACTGTAAATAACAAGTGAAAAAATTTTCAGCCTTATCAGTTGGACATTCCGGTTTTTATACTGCTTTTTTTTAATTCACTAACGCTCTAAAAATGAATATTTCAGCCGCAGTAAAGAATCAACGTTGGCGGATTTTGGTTCTTGACATCCTTTACGATCGGTTACGATGCCTAGAGTACGGAGACCTGTACGATTTCGTCAACTTAGTGAGTTTGATAGGGGTTGTATAGTGGGACTTCGGGAAGCTGGACTTTCTCTTCGGGCAATTGCAGTTAGAGTGCAAAGAAGTGTAGACACTGTGGTTAGGTGTTGTCAGGCATGGCTTCGAGAAGGCCGTACGCAAAGAGCAAGGGGCACTGGACGCCGCCGTAGAACAACAGACCGTGAAGACCTATTGGCATGCGAAGTGTTTACCGACGAATGAGAAGTTTTGGCTTGTTTTCATACCGGCCACACTGGGTCCTCCCTTTAACTCGAGAACACCGACGTAATCGCCTTGAGTGGTGCAGACAACGGTCACTCTGGGATCAGGAATGGAACAGTATTGTCTTTAGTGACGAGTCTCGATTTTGTTTAGGCATGCACGATGGTCGTGCCAGGGTTAGAAGGCGACGTGATGAAAGGAGGAATCCACAGTTTTTTGTTGATAGACATGTTCATCACACTGTTGGAGTTATGGTTTGGGGTGCTATAGCTTATGGTTCGAGGTCACCTTTAATCTTCATCAAAGGTAACATGAACGCGCAGCGTTATATCCACGAAGTTCTAGAACCCCATCTTTTACCCTATCTTGACACCCTGGCAGATCCAACTTTCCAACAAGATAATGCCCGACCACATGTGCAAGAGTCACAATAGACTTCTTTCAACATAATGTTGTCACATTGTTACCATGGCCACCAAGATCTCCCGACTTATCCCCAATTGAGCACGTGTGGGATGCGTAGCACATCAGGGTGCATCCACACATTATTAAAGGTCAAAGGGATTCAAAGCAGTGCAATCATTTTGAAATGTTTATCATTTACTTATTATGCTTCATTAAGTACTTATACAAAATTTTATTAAAATAAAACCATTTAAACTGGGTGTTTGGATTTATATGTCACTTAGTATATATCTTAGATGATTTATTAATAACCAAAAATACACATCCGAAAATTTGTTTGTGATAATGTGCTCAAGTTCACGATACGCGGTCAGAGTAGTTACCTCTTGGAGCCGCGGAGCATGATGATAAAATTAAGAGGGTTACTCGACTACCGACGGAAAACCATGTTCTTTCAGGAAGCCTCTCAGACAGTAGGAGGACAACTTCTAGCCTTGACAGCGTCACCGTTGTGCGGCGCTGTCGCGTAATCGTCGTACCGCGCATTCTTCTGGACGGTAGGACACGTTTTCTCATACTTTGTTGTTGAGTAAAAAGTTTTCCCACAAAAATTGGGGTATTCATGTTATGCGTCCTTGTTTTAAATACCCTCTTGACTAACTCGCATCAATAAAACCAAACTTTACAATTATTCCGCAAAGCAGGGTATATGTCTTAACATGAGTAAAAGCTTACCTCTGCTCTAAGAAGGTCGCCAGATGACAGATGTGTAAATCCATACTTGGCTACGATTCTGTCGCATTGGGTTCCTTTTCCAGATCCGGGTCCTCCCAGCACCCATATGACTGGCACCTTCAGGTCTGGGATTGGAGCCTGGAAAAATATAATTTTAATACAACGTCCAAGGAACAATGCTGTAACATCTACCGTTTTTTACAGAACTGGGAATCTTGAGAGCATGTACTCCAATTACATATGATTTTGAGGTATATACTCACGCTTATCAAAAACGGCATTCTTCGGCTCAGTAAGGGTCAAACCACAGAAGCGCTGATTAAGCAAGGCGCTATATTGTATAAAGATAGTTTTGTCTAAGAGTGAATATAAAGATGAATCAATTGACCGTACTATGACAATGAGCCAGATGCCCTAGCCTGGTAACAATTAAATAAGAAGAGTTCTATGACCGATGAGCATAATGTTAATTTGAAAAAAGTTCAGGTTCTCGAAGATGCAATTGAATTTAGGCCAGAAAGGAAGTGATTCTAGTTAATTTAAGCCTTCGAAATTGTTCTATTTCTTCATCAGGATCTACTACAAAAAATATTCAATGTTCAGTAAAGCCATGACTTTATCAATGAAAAAACTACTTACAAGGTGAAGTCCCTTTCAGGACGAGCAATCAAGAAAAAAACCGAAGAAACCAGGTACAACATCAAACATGCAGAGATAACGAAATAAAATATTGATCTATATGAACAATTGAAACTGAAGGTGCTACAGATACATAAAAAAGAACGTAGGCTGATAGATAGAACGCTCAGAAAACCCATTCAGTGCACTTTATCGCCCGGCCGTAGATAAAAATGTTAAAAGCTAGATCTACGAGGCTTTTGATTCTTGCGTCCCACCTGTTGATCGCATCCAGGCATCCATGTGGCAAAGAGGTCAAAAATATTTTAGGAGAATGTTTGTACATTAGGTGAAGGTGTTATTATACAATTAAACTGCGAATGTTTGTTAAATGTCTCGGTAGACTTAGTTTAATCTATTTGGGTATGCTCCAAGTTATAAATTTCTGTGAGTGAATAGGCGGCCCATGTACGAGTGTTATATAATGCCGATATTTTTATTTGTTTTCTTCTGACTGAACTCGAGCATTCAAATCTACCACTTTTTGGCAAAGTGTTGAATTTTAAAGTCGTTTTTGATAAAACATTATTTAAGAAGCTATGCAGTGCAACAGGCATATATAACAAAAACAAGAAACATGCGAGCACTATATACAGGGTGTTCATTTTAGAACGGATTTATCGAAAACCACTGATTACAAGTTAAAACGCCGAGACACGTCAAAATATTTGTCAAGGGGGACAACGTTTCAACCAAAAACTTCTTCACCCCCTTTCACCCTCCGCTCCCCAGGGCCAAGCCTTAAAAATTTTAAATAAAAAGGGCTATCGAATAGCAGCTTGTTTGAAAGGTCTTTCAATGTCAATGTATTTTGACGTTTGATTTTTCAAAATCAGTCGATTCGTTTTCGAGAAAATTATAAAAGTCTTTATCTTAATTTGTTTAGATAGAAAACATCACTTTTTATTTCAATAAGTTTTCAAAATGTTGCCCGCTAGGGCTTGCCAAATCTAGAATTCGTTTATAATTTAAAACGGAAACTACCAATATGAACAACACACAACATAAATCTCGCAGAAGCGAATTATCCGACTACTGTTTAATCTTACTCCGAGAGAGTCTTGTAAGTCCACGTATATCAGAGAGAGTGTATTGACAGTACCATGTATTTACATATTACAGTGTCTTATGTACGTTAGGTTGCACTGGGAAGAATTTGACGTCTATACTACGCGCCATAATCTAAACACGAGGCATCGCAATTTATTAGAAACACCAATGCACAGAACAGCCAAATTCGAAACTTCGCCCATCTTCAATTGCATTGCAATTGTTTTTACAAGAAAAAAGTTACTGAACTGCTTCTGACTAAGGCATATTATAACTGAGAGAGAGTTTTTTGAATGACACTTTTTAATCTCAACTAATATCTCCTCTTTCCTTCTCTAATTATATTTGTAATTTTTTCCTTTTTAAAGTTTTAGGATATTTAACGTATTTTTTGAAATTTATACTTATGTACTATTTATTTTTATTTATATTTTACACTGTATTCATCATTTGTAATTATTTATTTTATTTTTGACGTGCCAATGTACACATTTGTATCTAACTGGTTAAAATAAACAAACAAACACCAATTCGGAAGATTAGACCTGGCAACAACCAAATAACAACCCGATTTTTTTTCCGCATTCTTTTCATCAACACAGATATCCTGGTATTTATTGTTATACCTGCTTAGTTATTTGTTGCTAACAGAAAGAAAGGATTTAACTTGCTGAGAGTTGCATACCTTTGTGACAATCTCGGGATAGTGAAAATTAATATATTGATTGAGATCTTACTTCCAAAATGGTTTACACACTAGCCGAAAGAGTTCCCAAAATCAATGTGCTCGGCAAACTGCCGTCACGTTTAACGCCACACATCCGGGTAATATAACTTCGCATAGGTATGTTTTGTACCTTATTGAAGCCGCTAAGTTGAGTTTCGCGTCATTTTGGAATAAATACTATTAACCCCATACATTTCATCCATTCAAAATGAAAATATTGCAAGAGTTGACCGAAGATGGTATCTGCTTCAGTAATGAATGCACATTTTACCTAAATGGATTTGTTAATAACCATAACTGCAGGTATTGGAGCAATGAAGATCCTCAGGCTTTTGTAGAAGGGCATACCCAGTACCCCCAAAAAATTAATGTATGGGCAGGCATTTTAGAGAACAAAGTCATTGGGCCATCGTTTATTAATAGTAAATTTGAATGGGGACGTTTATTTGGATATGTTGGAAAATACCACCAAGCCGCTTATCACTGAAACCATTTAAAACCAGGATGGAAACCAGCAAGACAACGCTCCTCCTATGTTCTTCCGGTTCGGCAAAGGCTAGACGGCGAGTTTCCAGATAAATTGTTAGGGCGAAGGGGGCCTATGGAATGGCCTGCTCGGTCTCCTGATTTGACGCCATTAGACTTTTTTGAATGGAGCCATTTAAAATCTATTCTGTTTATTCCCAAACCTGAAAGTTTGGATGACTCCGTCAACGCATCATCGAAAGCAGCAATGATATCCCACAACATGTTTTTGAAAATGTCCGTCCGGAATTTGAACATCGCCTATATCATTGTTTGGAGAATAACGGGCAACATTTTGAACACTTATTGAAATAAAAAGTGACATTTTTGTGAGTTCTTGTTTTCTATCTGAACAAATTAAGATATATAAAGATTTTTCCAATTTTCTTGAAAATGAATCAACTGATTTTGAAAAATCAAACGTCAAAATAAAGAACTTCGAAGGACCTTTCAAACAAGCTTTTACTTGATATCCCTTGTCATTTAAAATTTCGATTATACTGGCAGAGGGTGAAAGGGGGCGAAGTAGGTTTTGCTTAAAAACTTGTCCCCTTTGACAAATCTTTTGTCGTGTCTCGGCGTTTTTTTCTAATCAGTGGTTTTCGAAATATCCGTGGTGGGAAGTTTTCAAATTGATACCCTGTATAAAGCAAATCAGTAAAGCTACTCCCCGGTAAGTAGAAGCGTGGTCAGTTGGGCTACCCCCACCACTCCACTGCCTCTCAATCCTTTGATGCGTGCTGCTGGTCTCACTGATAGTGGTGCAGCATCACAGGGCCAGCAGCATCACCTGTAGTGGTACCAACATCAGTGGCACCAGCAGCACACGTCTGAGATACCAGATAGTGGAGTGGAGTTGGGTGTCCCAACTGATCCAGCTTCAACTCCGGATACACCGACTTGCTATGGTCAACTTTGAACTAAGCTAAACATTATCTTCCATATTTTTGTTGCACCAGGTCCACTTAAAACTTGAATGAAACAGAGATTTGAACGACGTCAAAAATGTCTCTGCTCAAGGTGGGTTTTATAACTTAAAATGTTTGACTTTTTTTGGATTTTACCTAGTGGCCTCTGTCTCTCAAGTTCTGGGCAAATAGAAGCTGCTGGTATGGAACTCTCGGCTAAGTCATTCACGAAGCTCTAAAAAGCTTGCATAATAATTTTTGTAGCTGCTCAACAGATACAAAAAAATCAGGTTTGGCTATGAAGCGAGATGTATTTCACCGGTTTATTTGTATGCCTCTGAGGTATGCCAATACATTAGAATGTTTTTAAACTGAGGAAGTACCAGATGGATAGATGTTATGTTTACAGCAGCAAATAATATAAGGGTACATGGAAATGCAGGTACATGTGATTATATCACTTGGTTTTCCTTTTTATTCGTACAACTTTGGAGTGAACAAAAACAAACAACCAATTCAACTAACTGATTTGAAGTTGCAGATGTAGTTTTTCCAAAAAGTGCCAACAGATGCACTATTGTCAGATGTAACTTTAATTTAGCGAAGTTTTCACCAAATCGGAGTGGTGTAATGAAAAGACAATTTGACGTTGACCTTAACATTCGGACTACCTTTGCTGAGTGATGAATTTGAGAAAGGCGGTGCAAGCGGGAATCAATAGTTAAATTTAGCATAGTATCATAGACCATGATCGTTATCAAAAACTGAAAAGATAGTCATAGTCGAAGTATTTGGAGATAGTAAAGGGAAACATGATTCTAACGTCATTTACACATCTGGTAAAATATCACAATAAATGTCCAGCCTATTGGAATCATTTAGAAAACGTAACTGACCAATCTTGAACATATTATGGACGTACTACAAAAGGAAGATGTTTAGAAACGGATAGACAACAGAACAGGCAATTGAAGACAGTAGTGGATGAAGGTGTCACAATATTGCTCGTTTTGCATTCAACGAACCTCAAGGCGTGATTCTTTCATTCTGTGACTATTTTGTTGCAAAAACGAGATAACAACAAACTAGTTAAGCTAAATATCTAAAATTTCAATAAAGTAAAAAGTCCCAATAAATATGTTTAAAGTCAATTTTCTCCATACAATGATTTTGTTACTTGACGCCTTTATTCACTTGTCATCAATTATTAAACTAATTACTCAAAAGCTAAATCCTTTAATAAATCCAGGCAAACGTATTAGACACAACATCAATTTATCAGGTGTAAATGCGCGTTTAAATGTTTTTGCTTGAAGTGCATAGTGTCGATGCAGCACCATTAATCTGTGAGGACAAAGCTAAGCTTAAAGTGACTATTGTCGAACAAATACCAAGGACACCATTCAAATTGGTGCAGAAAATGTTTTTGCTTGAAGTGCATGGTGCGGATGCAGTACCAATAATCTGTGAGGACAACGGTAAGTTTAAAGTGACTTTATCAAACAAACACCATAGACACCATTCACATTGGTGCAAAAAGTTGTGCTCTGGATAGTAAATCAGCAAGTGTCTTTTCTACACACAATTTTTCTAGATAATTACATTATTCAGGCTTAAGCAATGTACCAAAATATTCTATTTTTTGAGGTTCTTGAACAAAATTATACTTTGAAGAAATACACTTGCAATTTGATTGTAGGTTTTATCTTTGAAACAATAGTATGTTTACGCTCGTCTTTGACAATCTGTGATAAAATATCGCATGAATGACACTCATATCAAATATTTTACGCAACCTTAAACAACACCAGAAAAACATCGACACTCCAACGCAAAATTATTGCAATAGCAAATGTTATCTTACTCACCATAACTGACTAAAATTTGCACGAATTATATAATATTTACAGCAAAGCGCTATTATCTGAGCGAGTATCCCGACGAGATTCGTCAGTCGTTAGAACTGAAACCAAAATAAACTAGCGGGACACCGCGCTACTGAGCTAAGTTCATTTTCGTATTTTCGCGCGGCATTGAAGTGAAAAGTTCGACCGCGACCTTGCGATTGTTCTTACTACTTTACTTATAGCTTAATCGATAATGATAATGTTTAATTTCTCACGTTTTTTATATTTTAACAAGGCTGCTGTTACGCTCACTGTAAAATAATATATCTTCTGAAATTTATCGTATGATGAATTGTGCCTTTCTACTAAGTAACGTAGATTTGATTGTTGACAAATTAAAGTTTCATGAATGCCTTCCAGATTGCCCATTTGTGGAGAGTAGGGATACTAAACTCGATTACACGAACAAATTTCACTGTGATTATTGCTGCCATAACCTAAATTACCGACTCCGGACAAAACCTTCAAAAACTGCACTAAGGTGAAACTGATATTTTTCCCCGGACAACCAACAATTTTTTTATAATCAAAGCTAGCCTCAACTCGCGCCTCCGCTCGCGTGGAGGTAGTGTAAAGTATAAGTCATTCGTTTTGTATTAGTGTGAAGGAGATTGGTTTCAACATTGTAATGCTAAATTAATTACACTATTGTGTTTTCTATATCCTCCACTAAAAGCGAGGAGTTTACTTAAAGACTTATCTGATCTTAAAACCACGTTAAAGGTCATCAGATTCATTGGCAAGGATATACTTGAACTTAAAATTATCCGCAATTTACATTTCATAAATTAAATAGACGTTTCTCGTTAAACATTCATTTCCTCTTCTTCTTCTTGTTTACGTTCCTCTCGGTTATTATTAAATGACCTTGACATTTCCTGTGCCAAAAGTAGGGGAACCATCCAGAAAGCCCCTGGACGCTCTCTAAACTAAGCCAAAACCGGGCAATCTCGGACGGATGGTAGCCCTAAATATGGTCCGTACCATCATAATTTACTTATCATTCCGCCAGAATCAGTGGATTTATATCTAACCATCAATAATTACTGAAGTACTCACAGTAAATACTGATACTGTGATATTCACCTCAGTATCCTAAATGTTTGTCAGAACAAATGAAATACCCAGAAATGGGATCAAACATAAAAAATATTTTTAAAAATTAATGGGCTTGGCAGAAATACGTTCATATTACTCTTATAAAGAAAGCATATTTTTTACTCTTTAAATAACGTAAATATTTAGTAGTGTTTTTAAGTTCCCCCTCATTTCGCATATTGGTATTATTATTATTTTTGGTTCAACAGTTGGCAACGCTAATTTGTGAGCTTAGTGTTCATAAATAGAAATGGGCTCAAGCACACGTTCACTCATTTACAATAACCCATTAAAGAATGGTGACACTCCACCTATGAGTGTACCTCCAGCAGGAAACCACAATTTCCCGAAATCTCTGAGTATCAGTGCTCGCTTCTATGAGTCCAAATGACATCTACCATATAGGCGTCCCATCACCACTTAGGGGCGTACTGCTACCATCTTTGACGTACTAGGAAAAATCCGGCATAAACACAGACTGAATAGGATCTGCATGCTCCATGATTATGCACAACGTCGATTCATGCTTTTTAGCGATGATGAGTATGGTATAGGTGCAGTCATTTGGAGATAGATGACAGAAAGTCTTTAGTTCAGCAACTGACACGTATACATGGAAATCTGTGTAGATCTTGAGTTTTCAAGATTCCGAGGTGCTCTTATAGCATTGTGACTCAAAAATTATTTCTTCAAGTGATAGGAAGACCTTCGTTGATTGAGACCACACAATAGATTGCGATGGTGGAACTGCAGAGTTCATATGTCTTGTTCTCGCACACATCACGTGACATCCCCCGTTAGCTACATCCTACTATGTAGTGTTAGTTGAAGCATTCACGTTAGAAATAGCCGTAGACGTTACTTAGGATTGGGTTCAGTGACATATATAATCATACCTTATCATAATATACTTGAATACTGATAGAATATTGTATAAACAAAACGTCAAATATCAACTGATATTTCCAATGAAAATAAAAATGCATTTAATTCATTCATTCTACCAAAACAAACTACTTTCAGATAACGTTGTTTGTTCTGTCCATTGCTTTTGGTAATCGTTTAGTCGGTCTTGTCATAAGCCCACGACTCGTCAATGGGTGTTTAAAATAAGATATTTTTGCCTGACATGCTAACTCCAAGCCATATTTATGTTAATATTAGTCCTTTCCAAGCCGTTATTTTGTTTATGGAGGAACATTTCTTGAATATCAAGACCCACCAGTCACATAGTTCGTAGCTCCAGCGCTACGGTAAGAATACTTCTTAGCAATCATTTTTATACAATTTGAACCTACCATTTTTATGCTCGTCACCGATAACATTAGCAAAAACAGGCAAAATATAGGACCAAAACCGTTCTTGCTTCCTTTGGTGAAAACTGTGCCTTGATGAGGTACCCATGGTACCAATTTAGCTTCTCGCCTGAAATTGTGTGATTTAAGTGACAAAGTATCATATGATAAGCCTGATATACCAGGTACTAGATACCGTGTAGGTAATTAATTTTACCAAATTCTTTAAAATAGTGCGTAACTTTATATTTTCCGCCGTCTGATTTAAGAATTCATGCTGAGATAACCCAGCATTATATCTCTAAAATTAGATTGGAATTAAACATCTTAGTGAAACACTGTAAGTAGATTCACCAACTTTAACATCTAGAAAATATCATATCAGAGTTTTGAAGAAATTGTTAAGGACGGACAAACTTGGGCGTCAGGCCGCGGTTCCGGGGATCTAAGCCACAAACGCTCTATCAAAGAATAGTGCTTCATGACGAATGTTCAACAGACTTTTTCAACTGTTAGTAAATACTGCGAAACAGTAATAAACATTCTATGCCGTTTCGAATTTACAGCAAATGTCAGGTCCACAGGGTGCAACTGAATGAATATAGGCAACCAGCACTGCAAAACACGTTTGCCAGCTTGAAGTCATTTATACAGCTTCAGAATTATTTTACTCACAATCCAAAAATTAATCGACTGCTTTTCATAATGATGCTATGATTTTTTCGAAGTCAAAACGTTTCGGCAAAACTGATATGTTGTAACTAGAGAAACCCCGAGTATTATAGTTCAAGTAGATAAGCAAGTCTGCAATTTCTGTTTCTATATAATAATAATAAACAGTCGTTTATTAAAAGCAAATTACAGATAACACATGTAGTACCTATAATTAATTTTGTAAGCAGCTTCAGGGCAAAGCTTAGCTATAACAGCTATTCTAACTTTTAACCATTCACTGAATAAAAATATTAGATGGTAGAAAAGTACAACTGTACTACACATAAATTAAAAGGAGGAAAATGCGCAAGAAACTGATCACAAGCTAAAAAATGTTAGCAAAAAAGTACAATGGAGAAAAACGCCTTGAAAGAGCATCACTGAGCAGAAGAGCTTTTAAGTGTCTTCTAAAACTGTATCCAGGCAGGCTTTTTGTTCTTTAATCTTAGCTATTGTACAACATGCACTCATTATATGAGAACCACCGTTTAATAAGAGATGAACTACGAAGGGGCATTGTTAACGAAGATGTGTTACGGATAGGTAGATGACGAACATTGCATCTAAACATTAGATTTTCACGTAAATAAAATTGGAGTTTCAGAGATAAGTAACTTACGTATAAGTGTTAGGTAATTGCAATTTTCTAAACCTGTCGTCTTTAACCAATCTGTCAAAGGGTAAGGATCCAAAGAATGGTAAAATTTTCTCAAACTATACTAAGTGACATATAAATCCGAACACCCAGTTTAAATGGTTTTATTTTAATAAAATTTTGTATAAGTACTTAATGAAGCATAATAAGTAAATGATAAAAATTTCAAAATGATTGCACTGCTTTAAAGCCCTTTGACCTTTAATAATGTGTGGATTCACCCTGATGTGCTACGCATTCTGCAACGCGCCTAGGTATGCTTCTGATCAGGTGGTCAATGTCCTCCTGTGGTATCTTATTCCAGGCAACCACCAACTCCTCTCGAAGTGCTTCTAGAGTCTGAGGAGGACGCTGCAAATTGAGCAATCTCCTACCCATCATATCCCACACGTGCTCAATTGGGGATAAGTCGGGAGATCTTGGTGGCCATGGTAACAATGTGACATCATTATGTTGAAAGAAGACTGTTGTGACTCTTGCAACATGTGATCGGGCATTATCTTGTTGGAAAGTTGGATCTGCCAGGGTGTCAAGATAGGGTAAAAGATCGGGTTCTAGAACTTCGTGGATATAACGCTGGCCGTTCATGTTACCTCTGATAAAGATTAAAGGTGACCTGGAACCATAAGCTATAGCACCCCAAACCATAACTCCAACAGTGTGATAAACATGTCTTTCAACAAAAAACTGTGGATTCCTCCTTTCACCACGTCGCCTTCTAACCGTGGCACGACCATCGTGCAAAATCGAGACTCGTCACTAAAGACAATACTGTTCCATTCCTGATCCCAGAGTGACCGTTGTCTGCACCACTCAAGGCGATTACGTCGGTGTTCTCGAGTTAAAGGGAGGACCCAGTGTGGCCGGTATGAAAACAAGCCAAAACTTCTCATTCGTCAGTAAACACTTCGCATGCCAATAGATCTTCCGTGTTTTGCAAACCATTCATTTGCAATGGACCTGGTAGTGGAGAAACGGTCCCTTAAGGCCAATAATCTTAGGCGGCGATCTTCACGGTCTGTTGTTCTATGGCGGCGTCCAGTGCCCCTTGCTCTTTGCGTACGGCCTTCTCGAAGCCATGCCTGACAACACCTAACCACAGTGTCTACACTTCCTTGCACTCTAACTGCAATTGCCCGAAAAGCAAGTCCAGCTTCCCGAAGTCCCACTATACGGCCCCTATCAAACTCACTAAGTTGACGAAATGTACAGGTCTCCGTACTCTAGGCATCGTAACCGATCGTAAAGGATGTCAAGAACCAAAATCCGCCAACGTTGATTCTTTGCTGCGGCTGAAATTTTCATTTTTAGAGCGTTAGTGAATTAAAAAAAGCAGTATAAAAACCGGAATGTCCAACTGATAAGGCTGAAAATTTTTTCACTTGTTATTTACAGTAAGATAAATACATTCACCAAAAATAAAACCATTTAAACTGGGTGTTCGGATTTATATGTCACTTAGTATAGATATGAAGCGTATGCAGATATTTTGTACAACAGATATTCTGTTAGAACTCGTAACATCTAAAGAAGGATAATAAACGAGATTATAATAATTAAAAATTGATAACACAAAAGATTCACACAACTTTTTTCTCACTTGAAAATTTGTCAAATTTCTATTCGCAAACAGGGTTCCTAGACGGATATAAGTTCTTTGTAAGAGGTTATTCAATGCTGCATGAAGCCGCACATTTTCATCGATTAACACACCTAGGCACTTGACACTTTCAGAAAGAGGAAGATTCTGATTATTAATCCATATATTTAAAGCAGATTTGACTACATCTGTTCTATGGTTTGGACGAAACAACACAGCAGAAGATTTTGAAGCATTGGTTTTTATTGGATGAGTAGGTGCAATTAGGGTCAATGTCCTCGTTAGTGTCTATTCTGCAGGTCCTCTGGTTAAAAGAAGTAAAGTAGTTGTTTGTCATCCGCATGTCGACTACATGAATTAAAAATATCAAAGGGCCTAAAATTGAGCCCTAAGGCATGTCAGAAGTAATAAAGTGCTCATTTCACAAAAATCCAGAATCTGAGACGCGCTGGTCAGGGATGATTTAAGAAACTGCACTGCTATTTTATAAAGACCATAAAATTTCAGCTTGGCACACATTAGTGCGTGATCAATTATATCAATGGTCAAATCCAGTGATACTAAGGCGACACGCAGGTCCACTAAATTAAGAGGAGCTGCAGTTGCAGTACTGTAGGATTTTCTAAACCCAGACTGATGTAACTGAGTATCTCACTCGATTTCAAAAAAGTTTTACGAATAAATGATTTACTCCAAACTCTTTAATAACACTCTCCACAGGCTGATGGTCCTAAGATCCAAAAAATCGGCAAATCTGCTGACCTTAAGTATTATTGGCCTTACTGTTGCATGTCTTCAAGGTTTATGAAGGTAGCCCTTCTCTAGAGACATATTGATAATATAAGTCAAGTAAGGTGGTATAATAGGGAGAGGTATATCGTCAATACCCTTTGCATTTGACTGGCCACTGACAACAGTTTTGATAGTGCTAGGCTCATCCAAAATGAAGGAAATTCTCCGATTTCCGAACTTATTATTATAAAAGTTGAATGTTGCTTCGTCTGACTGAGCAGAATGAAACACTAATGCAAATTAATCGTTTACAGCGTTTGGGTCATTGAGGTGAGATGGAACACTTTCGGTTCTTTTCGCGCCTAATTAACGCAAGAGCAAAATTACGTTTTTCTTTGAGGCTTAACATGTTTGATAGTGTCTAATCTGATTTATATTTTTCAAGTGCAGCATCACGTTCTGCCAGAATGAATTTTGAAGGGTATATAAAGTACGTTAAGAATATTCCTGGTAAGGAAATCAATCGATTTTATTCAATAATATCAGGTTATGCCAAACAATTGAGCTAAAATCATCACAAAATCCGTTTTCATCAAAATTTTTAATATCATGGAGAGTGATGAAGGTTTGCTAAGTTTTTCTGACAGTAATCTCCAGCAAGCAACATAGAAGTCGATGGCTCAGCATCCAAAAGCAGAGTCCGCGTAAAAAGTTATTTAGTATTTTAAAAAACTGTATCAATCAGAGTGGCCGAAGTTTCCGTGGTACGAATAGTTTCTTTAAGCATTTGACATAAACCATGACACGAAAAACATTTATTAAGACTATTGTCGGCATTGTATAAATCTGAGTTCATGTCACCTAGTATTAAAACTTTATCATACTTTAAGATGCACAAAGACAGGACGGAGTCCCATACGTTAACAAAATCGCCAACGGACTTAAATAAAGGTCTGTATATGACAGCAATGCAAAATTTTTCTTTATGAAAAATAACCCCTATCCAAGTGCGTTCCACAACTGTGCTCGTATCAATACCAAAGGCAAGAACTTTCACTTGTTAGATTTAATATGCCAATGCCACCCCCTCGTCCTTCTCTATTACAGCTATAAAAAATTAACTCTGGAACTTTAACTTTAACACAAAATCCGAAAAACTCAAAAGGATAGAACGAACATTAAGGTGGCCAACTATCCTTGTTTTTAGATTCCATCCATACTTGATACTTGACTGCTGGAGCTTGACTAGAAAAAACGGACAAGAGCGACTTTTTGCGGAATTTTTAATTGAGACTGAAGATTTTTTAACATTGGAACAATTTAGATTTTCCACTGCCTCTGGTTTACAAATTCTTAAAGGTGATATACCGATAATGCTTGCAGTTAAGATGAACAAAGTCAATGAAACTAGAAAAAATGGGGTCTAACTATTAATTGCGCTAGTTTATTTAACATCGTAGTTGATTTTAGATTTAAGATTATTAATGCGAATTTAAAGAAAGAAGCATGTATTCACATCATTGGCAAAGTGGTTTATTTTAAATTTAGTTCTGATTTTCTCATTATGCTTGGAGCAGCTTATGCATTTCAAAGTATCATTTGTACATCTAACTTACAGTTTTTCTCAATATGACCTAAGTCACTGCACTTAAAGCAACGAAAAACTGTGATATGATCACTGACAGTACACTTGCTTCATCCAACTTATAAAAACCCACGAGAGAGCAGAGTAGAACTTAACACTGCGGATACTTCCCGAAACAAATTTGTGGAATCACGAACTTTCAACTGTCATTACACCATTTTTCAAATAGTTTAACGTTACGAACAAGTAATCTGAAATTCAATAATTTAGCCTAGAAACCAGTTTCTGGGACACAGTGAATTGTAACTTCACTTTTAATTTTCTTTACTCCACTCAAGTAGAGCTTGAAATCACTTGGATTCACATTGGTTTGAATATACTTATGGCATCATTTGGGACATATGTATTTATTTTCTGATTTAATCATCACACCAGCTGATAGTTTGTTATTTTTAGTTTTTGCTTAGATAGAGTATGAACGAGCATTGCCACTTTTTTTATCACCTTGACATTTTCTTGGTGTCACTATAGCATAGGAGAGGTTCATTGATGAAATGTTTCCTTTCAATAACTTCATAATCGTTATTACATTTCAACTCTGCATTCAGGTTACTCTCAGATCAATTTCACGCTTAGAATGATCAACTTCCAGCTGGAGTACTGAAGGGTCCGAGATAGGGAAGGCCAAAGGTGGTTTGAGTTTGGTTATGACGCTCAATAACAAACAATTTTACTGCAGTTTCGAAGCATCTGGAATGCATAAGACACTACAACTCTTACCATTACATTCAATTCAAAATCACACATTTTGTCTCCCTGGGACAAAGCGAGGTCCGGGTTTCCCGCCATCGTGATCTGCTCCTGCTGAGATTCCTCCATGAAATTTTTGTTCCATTGACTTACTGTAGATGCATTTATCATGAATTGTCTTGGTCTAGTTTCTATACAAATGAGATTCGCTGCAATGAATTGAGCATATGACCCCAGATTACGATGAGCTACTTGTTTCACCAATGGGAGCATGATCACACTGTAGACCGATTCACGTTAGAGAAATCTGTTACATTACATAGCGTAAGCATACCGTCAGAATGGTGCCGACCATCAGTTTCGCGGATGACAGTGCTTTACATATAGGCGTTAAGAATGCGGGACTGACTTTCGAAGTTATAGAGGGGCCAAAGGTTAGCGGACAATCCGATAGACAGATCGACAGACCAACAGACCCACAGACTAACAGACAGGCATGTAACACCCTAAAAATGATATATCTCATTTTTGAAATTTTTGGCGTATACAACAATCGTACTTGCGCGTGAAAGCTTCTTGGTTTTATCGCATTCTCGAACCTCTACCAAAAAACATAAACACACAATATCATTGTAGCTTATTATACATATGTGGCACCTAAAGCTATCGTCATTTATCAATTGTCGATAAAGCTGGGTTGTCTCTTTAGACCTAGAAAATGCCTTATCCGGTTTTGCTAAGTTTAGTCCAATCCCATGAATAATATTCTACTGCTTCAACATAAAATCAAAGACATACCAGCTAACATACGTTGAAGAACAACGCCTCATTGCGTTTGGTATGCTTACTCAAAAACGTAATACTTCTAAAGAGAATCTGCATTAACAGAGAACGTACTGTTTAAAACTGCTATAGGTGCGGGTGATCACTGGAGCTGAATTAGTCAAAGCGTAAGTTGTGCAATTACTTGTTGAGTCTTTCTCTGGAACCCCATAATTCTTGAGAAAATATTTTGTGTACAATGATTTTACGAACATAACACTGAAAATTTGGACAAGTTACCAAAATGGGATGAAAAAATGGGTTAAGATGATATGGGATACATCACTGTGGCATTGTCATGTTGAGCAATTGGAGGTCACTTCAAGCTGTCAGGTGGAAAGCTCAATACAGAGGAAGTAAAATACTATTAACCTCCCAGACATTGGTGGCAAATATACTCAGTGACATTATATGTAGTTGCAGTCACCGATCTTGACGGGTCAAAGTAAGACTACCAGTATCCCTTTATATATCTTCATCTTTCTCATACATTCACATGCAACGTACACCTGTGTGTGAACGTTTGTTCGGTAAGCTCAAAGACATATTTTTTTAGTTGTGTATCTCCGTCGTTACGTATGAGTGTCCTTCAATCATATTTGTCAGAGTGACAACTTACTTGACATCGGCGTGCAATTTGAGTTGTCCTGTTATCAATCTTCAATATAAAATTATGACAAGGACGACAGCTCGTGCTAAATTTATTAGAGTATTTCCAGGAAGGGAATGGAAACATCGGTCCCCGGCAACCCACATGCGTACCTACTGGAGAGAGTAGCAGATGCGTTGAATATTAGTCTGCGCAGTGATCAGCGAATAAAATCAGAAAATAAGAAAGGTTTGCTCATAGTAACACTTGGGAAAACACACAAAATCAAAAAATGCAAGACCGATTATGTAAATGATGCCGTCAAAACAGAAATTAGGAATACTTTCTACGATATGAGCAGTAAATGACAACCTCTGCGCTCAATCAGGAGCTTAAAAAAAGGTACATATACGACGCCTCGGATTCAAGTTTAAGGCGTCTATTGAAACTTGCAGTTTTTCCTACAAGACAAAAGATAACCGCCGACTCTTGTGCGAAAAATCAGAGATTGTTTCTATTTTATGAGACATTATATGAATAACTTGAATATTTGCCAAAGGGTCGCTAAAACGAGTTTGACAAGACAAAAACCGAAAGAGTTTGAAAAGCGGCCATCAGGGTACCGGAAAGCGGTATGTTGTTCTCCATGTTGGGACCAAAAACGGTTTTTTGAGAGATACTGCATTGCTATTTGCTACAAAATACAAAGCGCTGATATCATGATTCCATAGATAAACATTTTTCCACAAAATTGGTATGTGAGAAGTTGATACCAGCATTACAAGAGCCACGGATAATGCCTTCTATAATAATGCCTTAACAGAAAAAAATCCCAATTTCAGTTGGAGTGAGATGCAATTAAAGCAATGGCTGCTACAGTACAGCGCTTTTAAACTCGAGCTTTTAGATCTACCTGTATGTCGCCTCAATAAATCATCTGCTAGAAGATATATCGTAGAACAAATATTACATGAACATAGATATCAAGTTTTGCCGCTCTCCCCTTACCATTACATTACTCAATACAACCCTATTGAGTTAGTCTGAGGAATAGCCAAACACTATGATCGTCATATTGAGGAAAATGGCTATGGTGACAAAGAAGTTTTGAAATCTTGGAACGATGCTCTAGCGAAGGTGACTTCTACAGTTTGAGCCATGTGTGTGAAACATACCGAGGACTTGATTGAAAACGATTGGGACAAGCATCAAGTATTTAACAGGGAGCAGACTAATATAATCATTCACTTGGGAGAAAGTTCAGATGACTCTGGCAGAGAAATCCAATAATTCATACTTTTACTAAAACAATTTTGAAAATTTGTAATTCCCAATTTTCTATGTGTGCACCTTGATGTAGATTGTTAAATATTTTAATAGATATGGACGTCACAAGATTGATGTTTATTACGGCGACATAGATTTAAAAGCTCGACTTTAAGAGCATCAACATCAAAATGTATTTTCTTGTCTAGCAGTAATTTATTTAGTCACAGTCCAGGAAGAATTGAGAATTTTATTATTGGAAATTGTTCTTCTAAAGCTCTCATATATTATCACAGTATATTTCACGAATTGTAATTTATTATTTCTATCTAACGTATTACCACTGTTACCAAAATCGTGACGCGATTACGATATCGGGAACTAGGTTCTTCACGGCCACGGTGAATGGCATCATGCAATCACCGTGTTGATGTTTGAATGTGCGTGAGATGTGCGGTTTTGTACATCACTAGTCTCAGGTCCACAGGAAATATGAGTCTAATTGATGAAGCATATTTCATGGCGTCTCCACATACATACATAATAACATTGTAAACGACATTTTGAAGATTCACACTCTTCGAGCGGTTTGGATAAACCATTGTATTGGACACTTGCAGCTCATATTAAGAAAACTGCGTTTTGTCAGTATAAGAACGACCGTAAGCGGTTTAGATATGGTTGTAACTGCATACATTGGAAGAAGAGTGGTAATATCATGGTAGAGATTATTACTGTTCTACTGGTGCCCAATTTGGTTAGCCCAAAAATAATGTTTCCAAAGAGCTCCATCCCCACTCCCGATTCCTCCCGGCTGCAGTTCGCTGTGCCGCTCATTCTTGCTTTAGTAACGGTCCGATGTGGAGGTTCTCACTGTTCATGACGTCGAGTGCGAAATTCGCCCCATAACTCGCTTTTTTCATGCCAAAGGGACTCCAGCCATGAATATTCATCGTCAGTTGGCAGAGCTGTATGTCCGTTCGACAGTGCAGAGAGTTTCGTGCCGATCGAAAGGAAGTGCACGGTAAAGATCGGAGTGGACGACGTTAGCCTCGGAGGCGGTTATCGAGGTTGCCCAACGCGACGTGCTTCAAAACAGGAGGATTACCGTCAGTGAACTTGTTGCTCAGGTACCTGGGAGTTGGCAAGCGGTGATCCTCCTGTTCCAGTTCGCGGTGGATCATCTCGCTAACCACCTCTGATAGTAGTCCACTACTTTCTTTATCGCGGACTTCCTGCAGATCCGCACTTGACTCCCTGCACCACTTTCGTACGAGGTCACCGGACATACACTCTCCGCCACCCAGCTCTGTCAACTGACGATATTCACTGGTGGCGGGGTTGCTCGTACCTTCCAGTGTGGCGGGAACTCCTCAGAAAGACACGTAGGCAGAAACCTGAATATCGGGACACCGCGACTGCTATAAGAAACTTAATCACACCTTTTTGATACGATTTTTGAACTGCCAAAGGTTAGCTTAACTGGAACAAAACCGTGGCGATTGCAGGACCGCATCATGGTCGGGAGGCTCTGTCGTGGAGGTGGGAGAGAGCAAAACCGTCGACCGCTGTTCAGTGAGAAAGTGTTCCAAGACTGTCCGTTATAAAAGTATCATTTGAACAGCCCTCTTCGGAGCAGCATTGAATACTCGTATGGACAATGTAGTCGGGGCGGCAGCACCCCGAACATGTGAGTAGCACTCGAGGCGTTGCACAGAGTGAGGAGACTATGCGAATAAAAGTACATGGCTCTGCACAATTAACCAGCTCCACTGTACATCTATTCTTTACAATAGCAGGAATCAGGTCAGGACCAGAAGCTTTGTTGATGTCGAGCGACAAGTGCAGCCATCTTACGGTCATATGCCCGAAGGCTACTTCCCGAGTAGCATATAGAGAACCTTTGGAATTGACGGCACACGGGCGATTGGTAGGACATCCATGGTAGATTTGGCAGCAAAAACCTTCCGCCTTAGCTTTGGAGTATGTTACAATCGTTCCATCTTGGCACGAAAGCGGAGAAAGGCTACTCCTTTCATGCGCCTGGTCAGCACAACAATTTAAAGAAAAGTCTTAAGACTGAATCTTGCTTGCGACGAAACGTATACAGATGTAAGACATTTATATTTTATGTACGGTCACTAGTTATTCCTATAGAGAATCTTGTGTACACAATAGTCATCATAAATGTTAAAAAAAATCCTCTAAAAGCTCTACTTACAACTGATTTATAAGAACATCGGCTTCTGGGTCGGTCTGTCATCACGTCATGGATGTCACTTGATATGACATGACTCCATTTTACTGACAACAAATTTGACAACCATGCTTGATACTATACTAGAAACATGAATTCCGATTTTTAAAAAGAGCTCGTGGTCTGCACGACAATGTGGGTCAAACAAATTGCAAGTAAGAGTTACGAACGTGCAACTCCACATTCTTGTCCTTTTAGAGTTTTCCTTTGGTAAAAACTTTCCCCCCAAAAAATTGTTTCAAAGCAGTTATCCACCGAAACCTGAGCTGTTTTCCAGTGACCCAGTTGAGTTACTCTGATTAACTCAGAGTAACTCAGTAGTGGTGCACCAATACCGTGCCACTGCACGTTGTATTCTCATGGATTGTTTCTGGAGGAGTTCGGGAGCGTATCACTCTCAAATCAAAAACCACTGGAAAACAGCTGTGATAAGCGCTTCTTGTTAGTTAAGGTAGAACACTGTGGTGCGGAATCGCATAACAACACTTTGTTGCGCGCGACAATGGACTACAAAGTTGAGCAAGTTCGCAAGCACACAAGGCCGCGACTCGCACTGTGAACAAAATTAAATCGTGCGACTTTAGGTCCAACCAAAATTATGATTTTTCTTCAACAACAAATCCGAAAATTAATTTTAGGATCAATTTCAAATTGCCGAATACGTATTAGCAATGCCAAGGCACCCCTCAAATTCACGCACTTCTTTTTCTTTGCTCTCCCTCCTTCCTTCCTTTCTTCCTTTCTTCTTTCCTTTTTTCTCCATGACTTTGTTTGGTATCTGGGCAACCAGACCTGACAGGCTTACTGACTTAGAAGACTTCAACCAAGAGCAAAGGTCCTACGGACACAATGACGAATAGAAGAACACTGTGTTTTGGAAGCATTAAGCTGTATCAGATCTCTGGTCAGAGAAGGTGTCGCTGCTAGTCTTCTTTCCAGCTCACTAACTGAAATCGGCTTAATTTCGTACAAAAAATACGTTAACGTTCAATACATAATTTTGAATGAACAAGTTTAGTGCACAATTTTTGGAATATGTTCTAAATAATGGGTGATTTTTTTGCTAGTATCTTTTTTGCAACACTGTTTTTGACAGATGACGCGTGAATCGTGTCTTGTGTCATTGTCAAGCTTGTTCAGTTTGGTCTATAATTTAACCATGAATCGACTTACGAACGAACAACGCTTAAAAATTATCGAATTTTACTATCAAA